CCACACACACCCCATGTGAACCACGGCAGCGTAAGCCTGCCAACAGCTCCAGATAAAAACCCTTCTCCCAGATTATTGTTCATTAAGAGATTTAAACTAGTTCAACTTAATGTTCTGTTCAGTCCTCTTAAACAGCTCAAACATTCCCCGCCGGAGTATCATTTCAGATCATATTCACTAATCTTTCAAGAACTTTTGTGTTCTATGAACATGTAAACAGAGAAAACGTCAGAAGGAAGAACCTCGTCTCTATTTTTATACACAGAAAAACATTTTATTCTCACTTCGTTCATTCTGTTTATAACGGTGAAACAATGGCGGGTACAGTGTTAATGACTGAATTTTATGAGAGCTTCAGAAGTCTGAGGTCTCAGAGACACCAGCTGTGACTTCAATCTGCTCTGTATCTGTGGTCGGTTGTTTTTTATGCAGCACAACGTTCCCAAATAAGCTCGTAGGGAACCGATTTATCTGCAGATATTCGCCTTGCTGACTGACATCGGCCTATTTGAACATTCACTGATGTCAGTGGTCGATGGTTATCTGTTGTCACACTAAATGTTGAGATTCTTAGGACACACAAGGGTGAATAAATACCAACAATAAAACCTCGCTATCGACACTGGCAATCAGCTAAATATTAGTTTAAACATCGGTATGAGCGCAGAATTCTCTCCAATCGCTGCGTCCCGTTTTATTGGGATTTCTGTTAATTGCTGCAGTTTTAACATCATAAACACAGGTAACCTCATTACGCAGGTTAACATGTGATAAATGTGATTACTGTCTAGGTCTGTTAATTACTTTTTGGCAAACAAAACCAATATATGTTTGTTCATGTAGTTCCTTATTTGGTCATTTCCATATTTTATAAGATTCATGACGCGCAAGAAAGGATTCAACACTTTTCTAGAGAGTGGGTTCTTATAATATCCAAAGAAAATAAATAAAACGCCACTCTGTGGAACCCAGCGTTAACAAAACACAAGAGTTAAATACTGAGGAAGAGCAACCTGCAGCTTCCCATCAATCAAATCTCCCAGCAGACAGTGAACGCAGCAGAGCTTTGAGGAACGACATGTCTGACTGAAAATGGACCAACAGAAGACAGACTGAAGATATATAGATTAACATTATGAATCTCCAACGGGACTCATGCTAAAAAGTGAGTGAGTTCCAGACAAAAAGCCCGGGGGCCTCCCTGAGGGGCCCCGCAGCACAGCTAACCGTTAAAACACACACACACACACACACACAGACACACACACGGAGACGTTGAGCTACAACACTTTGACAACAGCAAACATCTCCTTCCCACGCTCCCCCTCTCTCTCTCCCTCTCTCTGTTTGTCTCGTGCACTCTTCCCATCATGGCAGTGCGGTATCTGACAGACTAACGCTACCTGTGTAACCACGCTGGATCCCCTCCAGAGAGTCCAGACTCCGGCTTCCCTCTGTCTAACGCACCGAGGTCAGGAGGACCTTTCTTTACCGTCAGAAAGCGTTAACAGAGTTCGGTAAAACGCCTCGATGAGCAGCCTCATGTTCCAGAATAAACACTGTAAAATTAAGTTGAGCTGTTGCACCGAAGTAACAGTTTTATCAGGTCTGGAGTTCAAATTCATTGAATATGATGTAAATATTTAACTTCCTCGCCAGCCTGTAGGACGCAGTCATTTCACGTTGAACCGTATGGCAAGATCCTTCCTCAGTTGAATGTTTATCTGCTTATAGGTTTGTTTTCTTTACTACTGTTTATGCCTCTGTGTGTTGTGTAGATAGAGATTGTTTGTGTTATGTGTATTTTGTTTTGTTTGTATTGTTTTTACATTTTTAGGGGAGGACTCCTTCCTCTGCACTGTAATTCTATACACAGTGTTCTATATGTACTTACTTTGCTCTGTGGTATTGTGCAAACAAACTAAACTAAATATTACATATATAGATCTAAATATTCCTGCTGCAGGGTTTAAAGACAAGATGAACCTTCTTAAACTTAAACTAGTGAACGTCGCCTGGATGTTGTGAGTGTACAATGTGTAATTTTAGCATGAATTCAAAAGATAAACTGCTGTTAAATCCGTCTGCTGACCGTGAAGTGTTGAGCAAGAAGCAAGAGATCTTCCGATGCGTCATATACAGGATGATATGGTAACCGTGGTAACATGTAAACAGCAAGGATTTCCTGTGATGCATTAAAGGACCTTTGTGGTGATTTCACTTCACATTTCACCTTTTATTTAAAAAAAAAAAAAAGGACCCATATCAGTGTTTTCTGATTGGTCAGACTGGATGGTTAAAACAAAGACCAGTGCTACCTCACTGTGTGTGTGTGTGTGTGTGTGTGTGTGTGTGTGTGGGTGTGTGTGTGTCCCACCCATCCAGTCATTTCCTTTCTACTGTGGAAAATCAAACCTCCTCAGTTTTACATCACTGCACACACTCTGACCTCAGCGCGCTGCTATCATCAAACACCGACCAGCCTGAAGACGGTTTCACCCTCGAGCCGGTCACTGAGCCACAGTTTGCTCAGAGAGTTCAGCACATCGGATTAAACATAAAAGCTTCTGTTGAAGATCCGACAGTCTCTATATAACTTAATACAACTGTTAAGCTGAGCTCAGCTGTGGAAACAAACTTAATCAGACTTGTAGAAGATACTTAAGAGTCAGTTTTTGTTTTAGTCCGACGCTGAACACGAGTCGAAGTGCAAACAGATCTCATGAAAAGACCAAAACCAGCTGGCTGGGAAAAGGATTCATCACTCCACACACACACACACACACACACACACACACACACACACACACACACCACACACACACACACACACACACACACACACACACACACACACACACAGGTCTGGTCCTGCCCACAGGTCTAACCACAGGTCTGAGATGATGTCACTAAGAAGGGCGTCCCCCAGCAGGAGGAGGAATAGAATATTTTAACTTTTATCACAACGATGGAAGATACAGGGTCAGACATTGATCCCAGTTTGATCACTGCTTCATAATCTTGCAACCTAAAAACATTAAGACAAAATCCTCTCTAATGGGGGGGTCCGAGGTCTAAAGTGCATCTTTTTTGTGGGTTCTTGACATGAAAAAGTTCTGGAAGCCCTTGTTTAACGAGGAGCAACATCAGGGGTGTAACAGCAGGTATACTTTCTAAGCGAGGGTCCGTGTGATGTAAGGGTTTATTATCAGAGGGTGTTTGTGCACCAGGCTCTGTGTGACGTCTGCGTACCGCCGATGTGTTGTGACCACTCGGACTGTGGGAAATATAACAGGATATAAACATAAACTACTACACGGCTGTGGTGTTGGATGTTACAGGAAATGTGATTAATACAAATGCAGATCCAACTGTTCTGGTTGGATAAAAACAAAACAAATTTCATTAAAAAAAAAAAAAGCTTCTTGTTTGCAAGAACTCTTTGTCTGAATATGTTTATTTATCCGAGAAAAGAACAGCAGTTTGATAATCTGCCCGTATTGTGCAGCCAAACAACATGAATTACAATCAGATGTGTGTTAATTATGCTTGGGACACAACAACAAGCAGCTTGTTAAAGAGGAATACGCAGCAGAACAAGTGAGCAGCAGGTGGAGGCTGATCACTCTCACACAGCTGACAAACCGCATTAACTACAGTTTGCTGGAGGTTTGTGAATTTTGGGGTTGAGGGGTGAAATATTTTTCATCCTCGACACAAACTGAGGAACTTCACCTCTCCACATGAAGCCAGGCTCATTAACACAGGTGTGTGCTCCCTCTGTGGGAGCCTGCTCATTAAAACACACACTGCTGTTGTCATGTGGAGACTCTTCACTCACAACATGCCAAACTCCATTCACAAATCTGTCAGTTTAATGCTGCTGTTGACAACATGAAGCATTTCACCATTAATTACTGTGGGAGCCAATCTGTGGCTGCAAATATGACTCATCAAATCATACTTTAATTAAAACTTTAAAAAGGTAATGTGGGTCCAGTTCTCACACACAGTCGCCTTTCACATAAAGGTGACAACGAGCTGGGAGGCAACAGAAGCATGGTTTGCAATTTCCAACAAAACATTAGTTTGATTGTATTTTATATGTGCCGATATGAAGATGAGTACCTGTTAATTCTATAATACTCTAATAACATGGTTTACAATTATTCTAATGTCGCGAACAAAGCAACGAGACATTAAAATGCAGGATTCTTAAACGCAGTTTGGGAGGGAGCGCACAAGTGCTGCATGTACAGGAGCTAACAGGACATAAAGTGACTAAAACGGGAATATACTTTATTAAAACTTAAATATAAGTCATATTTATGTCTTCTACAGGCCAGGACATTTCATTAGCAAGCTAATGTTGGTTAACATAGTGGTAAGAAATGTGGGAATCTTCCACAGGACAAAGGTACGGCTTGAACTTTGGTCTCCGGCGAAAGTGCATAGACATTATTATGAAACACAAGTAAAAAGTTTTCAGAAGCCTCCCAGGGCCCTCTTTACTTTCACATAACACACGAAAAAGCGTTAATTTGAATGAAATATAAACTCTTAAAAAGCGGTTTTCCTCTTGATTCCCATCGCAGTCTGTCACATTGCTAAATGCAGCCCGGTGGGCGGCAGCAGCGGCGTGAACCGCTATAAAACCCAACATTTAATAAGGAATATGTGTTGCTTTGTGTATTAAATGTTTGCCGAAGTCAAGAGTGGACCCAACTCATTCAACAGACATCATTTACAATAATATACGATATATACATTTATCTTGAAAATCAATTAAACTTTAAATTGCAGATTTTTTAAAGGCAGTCCGTGCTTTCCACTTCAGAAAACAGTGTGTTGGGACTATAAACTGGGAAAACTGGGAAAACTGGGGGGAAACTGTATTGGGACATGTTCTATTAGTAATACCAGCAACTTATTAACATGCAAACTCATTTTGGGGTCAACAGTTGATGGTTGTGGAGGCTCGGGGAATGAATGGGACTCACCGATGGAGACCAGCTTTATGTTCTCCTTGTCCAGGAACTCCAGAGCCACCGACACGTTCTCCAGCTTCATCTGCCTGAAGTTGGGCCTCGAGTGGTACTTTCTGTACATCTTCTTCTGGCTGAGGACCTCCAGCAGGGCGATGAGCCTCAGCCCGTCGCCCAGGTCCAGCTGCAGGTCCCCGATCCGCTTGTTGACGCACTTCAGGTGCTCGTTGATCCAGCGGGTGAAGGTGTTCTGCTGGATCTTCTTCCACGGAGCGTCCTCAGCCAGGTCCTTCTCTGTGGCCGGCATCTTGCAACTCTGTGTCGGTTACCTTCAACGCTTCTGGTCTCGGACTCTGGGTCTCGGTTAGTGGCCCCTGGTGAGTGTGCTTCAGTGTTTCCTCGGAGCTGGCTGAAGGTGGTTTGAAGTTTTTTTCTGAACCTCACTGAGACTGACTGGCTGCTGCTGCGTTCAGGTGCCGCTGTGAAAGCTCGGAATTCCTACCTTCTTCTTTAAAGGTTTTTTTTTTTTTTTTTTTTTTTTAAGAGGCAGTTGGTGTTGCATTGCTGCCTCCTTCTGGATTTAATCTTCCTCAGTGTCCAGTTCTTCTGAAGTCCTGTAACTAATCCAGTATCTTTCATAAAACCCTAGAACCGGTTGTCTTACCTCCACACTCTGATACACAACCTTTTTCTTTAAGGGACCCCTGACAACCCCTGAATAAGTGACTTATTTTATGGATATTTCATATTATATTCAACAATATACAAACCAACTGATAAACTGTGCTATGAACCCAAATGAAGAAGGAAATAACTGCAGGAAGTTTGTGTAAAACGAGCGATTTGGGTGAATTTTGAGCAGATTATTCCTGTGAATATTGATCAGGAATTAGTTTTCTTTTTTGACAGTGTTTTCTTCCCATTAGCTCTTTGGTTGCTTGAACTTTTCTAATTCAGGATGAGGCTGTTTATCTGTGAGTAAAGTACATTAATGAGTTAGGAACCACTGCTCTAATATACTCTTTACACCAGCTCACAGTGGGGGAGGAAGTACACTGATACCACACTGTAAAAATACTCCACTGAGGGGCAGATGTGGAGAAATATATGTGGATTTAATCTCAAACAATCTCATATATTAATATTTGTTTAGAGAGAAAACTGTTAAACTATCATATATTTTATCATTAGATTATTATGACTCATGCATTCATGTAAAAGCAGCATTTAACTGTAGTTGGTTGAGGTGGAGCTTATTTTTAACTGTTTTGTATAAAACTGCAACTAATGATTATTTTTTATCATAAATTAATCAGCTGATTGTTTTCTCTATTAATCGATTGATTGTTTGAATTGATTGAAATGTTATCAGTGCCACCTCCACAATGCTTGTTAAATACAGTTTATTTACTTTTACATGGGAGAAATTGTTAAATATAATTTAAAATATTTACATACTAGTGTTTATATATTCAAATAATGATTAAAAGACATTAAAAAAAAGAAGAAAGCAATATTACATATATAATAATCATTTAACCAGTGTGGTCACTCAAATTTCAATGAAGAATAATAAACAATTAAACATACCATAAAGAACTACAGTTATGTTTTTAACAGTTTAATTCTCTTATTTAAATGTTTCTTCATCATATAAACACTTTTAGTGCAATTATGGAAACAAAATGTGTAATTCACAAATTTCCCGCAGCCCTGAATGCAGCATCAGTGATCAAAGATCGTCTATGAACAGGAGCAAACAAACAAAACTATTATATCTGGATTCTTAAATACTTTTAGCTTTTTAATCACAGTCTACAATAAGAAATATATATAAATATATATATATATATATTTCACATTATATAATATACATATTGTATAAAATATATATATTTTATAATTTTTTGTCTCATGAAGAACAAACTATAACAAATAAAACATACACTTAAAAACTGTACAAAGACAAAAGCAGAGGGAGATGGTGAACTACAGATATATAAAAAACACCTGAAATGAATGCCTGATAAAATCTCTCTGACTGAAATGTTAAATATATATAAATGTTTTGGGGTTTTTTGTGACAAACATCAAATCTTTACACTTTATTTAATAACAGGATTATTTAATTGGGCTTCTGTTATTAATTAATAAACTGAAATATAAAACCAAAATGTAAAAATCTTGAGATATACAGCATTAAATTACAAACATTTTTGTTTCAACGTCAAATAAATGAGTCAGTGGAACAAACTGGAATTATTATTTAAGTTAACTAAGAACAGCTGAGCTGCTTCAACAGTTAATTTATTAGTTTAATTAATGTGAACGAGTGACTCCACCTCTTTTTTTAGGATTCATTTCTGTTAATTTACTTCTTTTAATAGGGTTTTAAAACCAGAGAAGTTGGTTTCACTAAAGAAATTGTTGAAACTGATTACATCAAACATTTTAAGTAAAACTAACTAATATAAAATACAGACTAAAAAGTACTTAAGAAAGTTTCTGTACCTTAGAAAACTGAATTTGTTTCACTTTAAATTACTGGTAAAAGCAGCTTAATCAAGAATATTTTTTAATTTACTAAATTAAGTTTGTGTCTGCTGCTCAGAGAGAACAACCCAACCCTCCATGACAAGTCCCAACACACACAGACACACACACACACAGTAAGTAAAGTAAACAGAAGACAGTCATAAACACTCCTCTCTCAGATTACCAATAATTCTGTGAAACACGCTGTGAGGAAACCGTCTGGTACCAAGAAAATCTGTGACGTCTGTGAATTGATTTGTACATTTTTCAGACATTAGTTAGTTGAACTGGTTTTCTGTGAATCACAGAGTCTGTTTGTTGGTGATGTGTCAGTATCTGAGACATCATCATAAAAAGATTTAACGTCTGGTGACAGTGTTTGTTCTGGTTTGTGACTCTGGTGTAATTGTTCGTTTGAGGCTATTTATCTGACTGAAGGTTCACCAAACAAACACAATAACCTCAAATAATGGCTGATTATTATCCAGCAGACTTTTTTATTTAGCCTAAAGGAATAAATTGGAGAAGAATTATGATAATATAATTTCACAAACATAATACAGTTATTAAGTCCTGGAAATAATAAAAAAACAATTTATCCAAATCTCTCGTTTTACACAAACTTCCTGCAGTTATTATGTTCTTTATTCTGGTTCATTGTACAGTTTATCAGTTCTTCTCTATTGTTATTGTTATTATTTTAATATAATATATAATATCAATCAGTATCAATAAGGAATCATCAGTTTACTCAGTGGTGGTTCATTGAGATAGAAGAAGGAGGAAGGTTGGGATCTATTGCTCTAATGTAATCTTCACTGTCAAACTATTAATATATATTTGTGTCTTTAATATTGATTATTATTTTATTATTAGTGAGTTCATGTTTTCACTGGTTAACTGTCAGACAAACGTCAGAAAACATCTCCTCATGTTCTCTGATTGGACATTGGACTCTAAAAAGAAGGAGCAGTAATTCTTCTACATGTTGAAACTCTCTCCTAACGATGACATCATGCTCCTGCTGGATGACTGATACACACACACACACACACACACACACACACACACACACACACACACACACACACACACACACACACACACACACACACACACGTGTCCAGGCCTGTTTAATGGTTCAGTCTTTGGTTCTCTTTATTAGGTCACACACTTTGTCTCTCAGTGTGTTTTAATGGGATGTAAAGTAACTAAATACATTTACTCAACTGCTGTACTTCGGTAGTTTTGAGTTACTTGTACTTTACTTGAGTATTTACATTTTAGGAGGCAAAATATGAATGGAAATATTTACTTTTACTGCATTTATGTTAATTATCCTATTATCACAATCTTTAAAAATAACAATATGTTTCATGTTATAAATTTAGAAAATGCTTTTAAAAATCTTAATCCACAATTTAGAACATCCTGTGTTTATTTTTTGGGACAAAAAGTCCAATAAGTGAAAACTAATTTGGATCACAGAAGTTTTTTTCTTCTTAATCATCCCATGACCTCAAATTTTTAAATTTGAATTTATGAGATCTTAATCTTCTAATTACGGAACATTAAGTCATAAATCTCTTTAAATGTGCTTCCATTACCAAAAACATTGTCTCTTCCACTTCCCGTACTTTGCACAAATGTGCAGTTTATCTAAATTACTTTGCCCAGCACAAATATCTTCATTCATTTGGTCTTAACCACCGACTGCACAGCTCTTATTGTTCATAGTATCTGTTTGTTTACATGCTTCAATACAGCTGATTCTGTTCTGCACAGCTCTATTACATAACGCAGACACACTGTATCTCATTTATTAAGTTGTACATGTGTTAGATTGACTTTATATTTATCTTGTAATGTATTTCCTTATATGCCCCCACGTCCTAGTGAACCTGCAGTCCTCCTATGTGTCCGCACATTGTGTTAAATGACAAAGTTAAATCTAAATAAAATGTTATCAATTATGACATAAAAAAGGCAACATTCACCAAAAAGATGTTTTGCGTCGGTGCTATTCTTCTCATACTTCTTTATTTTGCTGTATATTTAAATTAAACCAATAAAATGTTCATGAGTAAAGTTTTATATTAAATTCTGTGCAGCTACAGTAAAAACCTCCCTAGTGCTTATTGACATAATTTCAAAATAAAAGCACACCTCTTTTAAACATAACTTCATCCAAGATCATAAAAACCGAGTTATCTGGATGATTTTAGTTTGATAAAATGCCGTCAGCCTGGATGAAGACCCTGATGAAGTAGCTGTGTTCTTACACGCTCTTATTGTGAAGCTAGTGAATGAATGAAGGCGCTGGAAGCTGGTGTTGGTGGGTCAGCTTGCTACAACTTTAATCCAAACATTGCTCTGCATATTCAATACAACATCATCATCATCATCATACTGTATCCTCTACATAGCTCCCTCTCATATCTCTAAACAATTTTAACAAAATAAGTCTAGTAACACATCATTCAATAACGTTTTATTTTACAATTCTCTCTCTGTACTGTAGTGTTTTTCTCTTTAAACATCAGGAATATTTGTTCGTATTTATTTATTTTCTTTAAACACGGAGACAAGACGGAGTACACGAACGATGACAAACGCTGCTCAAGAGTCCAGAGTGTGAACCGACCCACACTCCCCTGTTTCACCAACACACACACACATTGAAATAATTTAATGTCTGCTAAAAAAAAACATTTCATCAGAGGCCTTAAAGTGTTTGAAAGTTTGTTTGGAGAGAAGCTGAATCGCCAACACACATTTTTAGCAAATCCTCAGCTCTGTAGCCGTGTTAGCGGGTTCGTTACTCAACTGGAATAAACTTTTTTTTAATGGCTGAAAACTGGAAATAAATTAGTTTTTCCAACAATCCTGAACGTAACGTTTGTCCTGTAGATGGCGCCACAGGAAAGGTTAAATTAAAATCACCATCAGATAGATGGTGGAAGTCTGAGAGCGCGTGCACGTCAGACTTTGGTCTCTATATGTTGACTTTTTGATAATTATTGAACACCAAGTCGAACATATCAGAGCTTTCACAAAACATCTCAGTCATAGTCGACCCTTCATAAGCCCCGCCCCCTTTTGGACCATCAGTAAACTTTGTCCTTCCTGTACTTAGATAAGCTGTTCTAGGCTAAGGTTGAAAAGACAACTGCATTTTGAAGATGGTTAAAAGATAAAAGTGACATATAAAAGTATACAGTTAGCTAATGTTAGCAAAACACCAGCTAACTAGCCAGCTAATGACAGATTAGTAGCTACCAAAAAGGGGCGGGGCTTAGGGTTAATTACACCGAGGCGAGTCAGCCGAGTTGTCCTCGTTATTTTTTGAGCTAACCGAACTATTTGGATTTGTACAGCTTCTCTCCGTACATCAACACCGACAGACCTCTGACAGTCAAATAAACCAAGTGTGTGTGAGATTGTGTGTGTTTATCAGAGAAAGAGTGTGTGTGTGTGTGTGGTTGTGTGTGTGGTGGTCCGCACACATACACAAACTGTGGTGTTAGTTACATCAGAGGCACTTTGACCCCGTTATTCTGTGCCCCGAAAAACAAAAACAAAAAAAAAGAAAATAAATCAGATTTTTTATTTTTATAATTTGGCTTCAAGTTTCAACCCCGACCCAAACTCCCCTGAAAAGGAATAAAAACAAAAACAGAGAAAACACCATGTTACATATCCAACACGGCCGACTAAAACCAGAACAGAGCAGGACTTCCTGAAACCGCCTTTACGTGAACACTTTCCAGCCGACTCAGTTAACGACAACACTGATCCAAGGTGGCGCTCCGTCACTGTTTGTGCTTCACTTCCAACAGTCTGAACGTACCGTCGCAGAGTTTTAATGTGTATTTACTTTATTACTATACTGACATATAGAGCAGAAAGCTGTCCCTGTAGTGGGACTGCGTTTAACTTAAACAGGGTGGGATTAACCCACAATGCCCAGAAACTGATGCTAGAATACGACACGGCCGTCAAAATATCTCCTTCGGATTTTAATTAATACGGAATATTTTTTTCAATGAACACAACACAATATCCAGCCAATCATAAAGAGAGGAGGTTGGGACTGACCCCTCTCTCTCTGGGAATATTGTTTGTTTATATTTGAGCCGCAATGATTAGTCAATTTAAAAAGATTTTATATTTTAATTAGCTCAATTGTCATTTTTCAAGCCGAATTGACAAACATTACCTGGTTCCAGCTTCTTCTATGTGAAGATTTGTTGCTTTTCTTTGTTTGTATGATAGTAAATTAGACTTATTCAGGTTTTGGACTGATGGAGACAAAACAAGATATTTTAAGAAATTAACTTGGCTTATGAGAAACTGTGATGAGTATCTTTGAGACCAAACAATAAATCTTTGAGCTGAAAGACTGAAATCTTACGGTAATAATCGAAGCTGCAGCTGTAGAAGTTAGTTTGACCGGTTAACATTTTGGATTTAAAGATAAATCTGCTGTATGTCAGTTAGTTTGTGATAAACTGACTAAATACACATTTGTTTAAGAATATACACCATTGTAGGCAAAACATCAACGGGAATATTAAAAGGTAATAAAACTTGACGGCCCCTTCTAAACAATAAGAGTCTCAAGAGTTGGTAAAAAAACATGAGGGCCGCTATCATTATAGTTCTTACTGTACCTTAGTGGTGCATAGTACCAAACAAATACGCATTTAAAAGTATTCCCTCAAAGTCAAATGCCACATTAACAAACTGCACCGGCCATAAATGTTTTTAAAAAACAGGAAAAACTGCCAAATTTAAGGATTTAGACTTCAATGGCATCAAATATTAGCAAAAGTTAGCTAAAAGTACATCATATTGTTCAAGAAAGCAGCACAGACTCTTACTGAAGATGCCGAAGAGACATTTTCGAGGGCATGTGAAAGCACAGAGCTGGTCTGAAGATCTGAAAGAGTAAAATTAAAGCTGAATTATGGAGAAGGCGAGCACGTTGTAGGTCCATCCTCAGTAAAGATACTGAAGAACTATCTTCAGTGATGAAGGTGAAACAGACTGACTGCAGCCCAGTCCGTCCAACCACTTCTGACAGAGCTACAGATAAACACAGCCTGCTAACAGATTCCAGTAGCCGATGAAATCTATCAATCGGTGTGCAGACCTGCCAGTTTTCAGTGATGAGTGTGGATCGTGTTCTACCTGACTGGACTGAGGCGGCAGGAAAGTGTTGCGTTCACACCCGTTCCGCTCGTGTACGACGGGACGGGTGTGAACGTCACCTCTGGCAGGTTTTAGGGGGGTTTTTTTTGCGAGAAGAAGATCGGCCCTGCTGGAGAACGCTTTTGTTACCCAGAAATCAGCAGAGAGACGAAAACCAAGAAAAGCCCCCACCACAGCTGAGAGAGAGCCGCGAATAAAAACGACAACAAAACTCTCGGCTGCAAAAAAAAAACAACAACAAAAAAAAAAAAACACACAAAAACAAAATAAACCAAGAAGAATCTGAATCCTCTGTAGAAACCACAACCTTTATATTCCCTCTACAATTATGTACAATTAGACTTTATACAAGTAAAGCAGTGATGCTCTCCTCACAGCGCTCTCTGTGTGCGTGTGTGTGTGTATGTGTGTGTGTTTGTGTGTCCTAGGTGGAGCTGCTCTTGGAGAGGTTGGGGTAGAGGACGGCTGCCGTCACGGCGACCATCACTGCGATGACCGGCATCCAGGGGCTCCAGCCACTCTGTCCGAGAGAGAGACGACAACACACACACACACACACACACGAATGAAAACACGGACAAAGAAAATCCCAGTTAGTCATCGTCATGTCTGAGCTGTTAGACTAGAATAAAGAGAGAGAAGAGGAAGAAAGATGAAGAGGAGCAGAGGGAAAGACAAAAACAAAGAGCAGAAAATAGAAGAAAAAAAGTCCAAAAGATGATATTTTTTTTCTTTCTTATTCATCTAATTGGAAAAAGTTATCTCTGTTTATTTATAAAGGACAGAGCACATAGGAATGTGGCCTGTGGTAGTCTGATGTACAACTGAGTATCCCTGAATCTTATTATTATAATGTCAACCTTCTTTGGGAGCTTGTTTGTCAAAGTTGTATGTGATTTAGTGTGAATGGCTCCTGTACGTTGTGTGTGAATGTTCTGTGTTTTTATGCGCAATAGTAACATAAATATAATTATTATAAGTTTGATTTTAAAAACACAGTAAACAATGTTGTTCCTCATTTCCACTGGTATCCAGATGTTTGCTACTCTCACAAAAAAAAAAGCTGATTAACTCCAGGAAAACAAGTGCAGGGCTGGACACTGTAAATCACATCTCTGTATGACATTAAAATGCTAAAATGTTGGTTTGTATTAATTAAGTTTTGTTCATAGATGTACTCATGTAAGTCTTAACTCATAAGTTAACAAGTCAGATATAATTTGGCTCTTTTGGGAAAAGTTCTGTCTGCTGTGAAGTCGTCTGTGTAACCAGTGCCAGTACCAGGCCACTTTTTTCTTGGCATTTCTCTCTGCATCTTCCAAGACCCTGTAACTGATCACAGATGAATCAACCATCAAAAAGTTCTAAATCTGTGTAGTCCTTTTATCAGCCGAGCCTGTTGTCTGTTTAAAGTGCACAACAGATGGTTTCTGCTGAGGATTATTGGAGTTGTCTCCATTTTAAGTTGGTTATCTGCATCAGAAATGAGCAAGCCTCATGGTAGAGGAGCATGTGGGTTTATAGTAAAAATCTTGCTCCTACAACTCAAGAACAAAAGATGAAACACTGAATAATAAAATAATTAATAAAAATAGAATCTTTTGGGGCTTCAGGAGAGGTAGAGGAGAGGAAGAAAGTAAAAGAAATAGAAGCTAAAATCAAAAACACAGCTGGAAGCAGCAAAACAAAGGCTGAGGAGGTTACCTGAATAGAAAAACAGAAACATTACAGACCAGTTTTCCTTCACAGCAAACGACTGGAAACACTGGTCAGACATTCCCACATGAACAGACAAGCAGCAAACAACAACCAGCACAACACAGGACGAACACGATGGACAGAATGATGGATGTTTTATAAAATGAAGAAAAAAAAGTTTCAGTGGCTGCAGTCAAAGTCAACAAAGAGACCTGTCAGCAGGCAAAAGACAGAATGGAAAAATAACTCAGATTAAGCTGCAGACTGGATGCAAGAAAAGAACAACCACAAACCCTGTTGTGAGAGATGATGCATAAAATGAAATTAGATTTTTAAAAAGCGCCAACACCCTGAAAGTGAGCGGCAGCTGTGAAGAGACAGTGAGTGAATGAAAGAGGGACGAGTTAGTAACCGAGGAGGAGGTCATGAAGGAGAGAGCGCGACTCTTTAAAAGGGAAACACTTTGATCTTCATGTTTCAGAGGAAAACTGAGGCCAAAATAAAGATTTGTTTAGCTTCATATTAACAGGTTTTTACTGGAGTTAAAGTACACTTTTCAGCTGTCACATCCAGAACTAACTGGTGTTCAGGCTCCTCAGACCCCCCTGCAGGATTTTGCTTTTAATTAATATAAATTAACAATTTTTTTTTTTTTTTTTTTTTTTTTTTTTAAAAAAAAACATTTTTTTTTTATTTTTTATTAAAAAACTTTTTTTTTTTTTCTTCCCCTTTTTTTGGGAAACAATCAGATTTAGGGCAACTGTAAAGGATAAATAAATCAATCAATAAATTAAGTCTTAGGCTAAACAAACAGCACGTTTTCTTGAACATTTTGCCTTCTTGGTCCAAAACTTCTATTACGAATGGTACAGTAATAATAATACGGAGCCACAGAGGCAGACAATATGTTTGTTTTATACATATAAAATACTTCTCCAATAGTATTAGAACAGGCTCATTACATTTTATATCCGATCTTTTGGCAGCAGCCATGAAGGAAACTACAAAACAGCCGACGGACATGCCAGAAATCATTCAAGTGATTAATCAGGCGCCATGACCTCAAACTGCCTTCAAGTCAGGCAGAAATGTGGCCCAGTTCTAAAACAAGTTGAGGGCAACAGTTTCCTGCTGCTTTAGGAAATCAAAGAGCCTTTAAACATCAAACTATATATCTAAAGGTTTATCTCTTCAGTAGGAACCAATGTCTGATTGATAGACCGACTAACTACATTACCGACAATAAGAAAACATAAAGATCAGTTTAACATTAGTCATCAGATGTAATTAGTTAACTAACGATTAATGTAGATTAGCTAGCTAGATAACGAGTGTTTTCGTAACATTAGCCATCTTAACATGTGACTTTAAATGCCGCTTTTATCTTTAAATCATCTTCAAAACAGTTCTGACCAAGGCTTGTTCAACTGTTACTGGAGCGCAGAGCAAAGATCACAAACTGCTCACGTTTACAACCAAAATAAAAGTTTGAGTAAACAACTTAATATTGTTTTCCTGAGTCAGCAGGTTCTGAGGAGACTGACGTATCCCTTTAAACGGAGGGTCTGTGGTTGGTGGGTGCCCGTCCCTTTAAAGAGCCGAGTTCAGTGTTAGCTGCAGCAGAAGCAGAAGTGGTGTGACTGACACCCATGCAGTTAGCGCTGCTCAAACCAGAAGACAAAGATTGACCACCGTGATGATGATGAAGATGATGACGATGATGAAGATGATGATACTTAAGTCTTAAAGGGAAGTGTAGGAGGTGAGAAGAGCGTCCCACTGATCAGAATTCAGGGTTCAACACTAACAGCCTGTTTACCGCTTTGTCTAGCAGGCTAATAAACCAATTCGAATACTTTCAAATACTGAGAGTTGGAAGTGAACGTCTGGTCAGATTTGATGTTCTTGTTACTGGTTTTTGATTAGATTCAGTTCCTGATTGAAATCATAATTGAATTTAATCTATTATAGACTGCATCTTATTCAGGCTTAAAGTCTTACAGCCGCACAGCTTTTTAGATGATATTTTAGGAACGTTGGCTTCTTTTGTTTGAAGAAAAACAGAGAGAAGTGTATTGTATCAACAGAAACATTTCAAATGATAGCCAGCCCTGTTTAGCACCCAGTGGTGCGTCTCAATTCCACCAACACACTGCTGATGTTCTGAAACTGAACTAGGATGTATGAGTTTAACAAAAACATCAGAAAGTGAACTGGGTAGAAATTCGGGGACTTACAGGTGCTGTAAAAAGAAATAGGGAGCATGCCTAACATTTTCTTTTTTGTTTTCTTCACATTTTATTAGTTCAATAGTTGTTTTTCAAGTAATAGCCTGACACTCTAATCATAACCATATTTTAACTCCACATGGATGCCGAGTAATTAATTAACGCCCTATAGATACAATGATAATAAAAAGAAAACACAGCTGTAAACAAATGCCACCTACTTTTTATTGGAGCACTAAAGGTTAAAGGTCATGATCATGGTTTAGATCATCATTTTAGCCTAAAGAAGACTGTGCGGGTACTTTTATTGTCTTATTCCCATGGCTCTCAACATGTGACCCTGAATCCATCACAGATGAGGATGATGTTTTCACCTCTGTCATCTTTCCTTGCACAGATGACGAACAGATGGAAGCAAAAGAGACAGACGGAGAGAGACAGACTGATGTCATGTCGGTGTGTACCTTTCTACCACAACTGGCCGAAACACCAGTAGAGCAGAGCCAGGACAAGGCCAATGAATATGGCTTGGACAGGCTGCAATATGGATGGCTAGAGGGGAGGGAAGGAGGGGGGGAGGGGAGGGAGGAGAGGGATAAGAAGAAATCAGCCGGCAAATCAACCAAAACCAACATGGAGGATGGAGCAGCTACAGCGAGGGGGGGAGGAGGGGGAGAGACAGAGAGAGAGAGAGAGAGAGAGAGAGAGAGAGAGAGAGAGAGAGAGAGAGAGAGAGACACAGAGAGAGACAGAGAGAGAGACAGAGATAGAGACAGAGAGATAGAGACAGAGAGAGAGAGATAGAGAGACAGAGACAGAGAGAGACACAGAGAGAGAGACAGAGATAGAGAGAGAGACAGAGAGATAGAGACAGAGAGAGACAGAGAGAGAGAGAGAGAGAGACAGAGAGATAGAGACAGAGATAGAGACAGAGAGAGAGAGAGAGAGAGAGAGAGAGAGAGAGAGAGAGAGTGTGTGTGTGTGTGTGTGTGTGTGTGTGTGTGAGAGTGAGTAAGAGTTGGGGGGATTGGTAGGTTTGTAACCAGTCAGCTGTTTCTACAAAGCAACACTGCCATCTTTAAACATTCAACAGCCACATTCACCAAACACCACCCGTCACCAGGCAACATATTCCTGCTGGACTTCAGCTCATTAACTTTCTGCACCAGGACACCTCATTAGCACCCAGAAAGTCAAAGAAACCAGTGTGTAGGATTTAGTGAAGCTGCAGATTGCAACCGTTTGAATAGCCTACAAAGCGTGTAGGAGAAACTACGGTGGCTGTGAAACTAGCAAAAGAAAATTCAACAGATCCTCTCTAGAGACAGTGTTTGGTTTGTCTGTTCTGGGATAGTTTAGAAATGGTTTAACATCCGTAGCAGAGGATCTGTTTTATCTGCAGATATAAAAGGCTCATTCAAAGGTTACAAAAACACAACTATTCCTATTATACATAGATGGAAACACATTTTTATTTTATTTTTAGAATTGAATTAAAATTAAATTGAATAGTATATTCCATCTCTGCCAATATATCCTTCTAAATATTACACACTGGACCTTTTTTAAAAAATCCGGTAATGTTAGTACAGCAGTCATCACGAAAGGCTACACACCGGTTCATATGAAGTGCCTGGTGAAGATAAATAATGGACTTACAGGATAATTCTGGGTTATTAAAACTTGAGTCTTGTTTTCATAGTTTGGTCCATAATTTCTATCACTACTAATCCTACTGTACTCAACCAAAGTAACAGGCTGAGATCTGGAAACACGACAGCACGTCAACAAAGTCTGACGAGGCAAAATATACACTGGTGGCGACACCTTTTGTTTTCTTTCAAAGCCGACACTGGCAGCTTCTTAAAGGGGAACTGCAACAATTTACACTCCAAAGTCTGTTTATATGTCTTGAAGAGTAAAAGTTTTATCAGATATTCATGGCTCTGTAGGGAGCCATGAATATCTGATAAACTGCATCAAGTGATTTAATTAAATCATTGTACAGGAAAACTGTGTGCACACAACTACAGTAAGTACGGTGGGTCAAAGTTTAAGCAGGAAGTGGGGCTGTAATGTGATATTGTTACCGTTCACTTTCATTCTCTCTTTCAGGTCAGACAAGCTTATTTGGAGGTTTGTTTCTAATTGAAACTGAATGTTTCTCGAACCGTCAGACTTCTTTTAATTATGTCTCCATATTCCCAGATCTCAGCTATTAACTCCATGAGTGCATAGAGTGAACTGACAGAAATTATGGACCAAACTATTAAAAAGTGAGACTAAAGTTTGTAATAAACAGAAACTATCCTTTTAAAAATGTTAGTTAAACCAAGTTTGTTGATCTAGTCCTGCCAGGACTATTATTCTGAAAAGCTCCGGGGAAACAAAACCTGAGGAATAAGACAAATGTCTACTGTCACCATCAACAAAAGACTGACGGGGACAAAGAGCTGAAGACTGGGAGATGAGAGAAAAAAGAGGAGGAGAGGAAGAAGAGGGGTAACAGAGGAGGAGGAGGAAGAGGAGGCTGCTCCGCCTCGCTGTCATCTTCAGATTGTCTGATTTGTGTTTCCTGGAGTTCTCACAGAGACAAACTAACAGCTGTTATTTATCAACTTAAGATGAAAAGAACGATGATGTCACCTCAGCTGGAGGAGCTTTATATTAGCTTCTATGTTCATTCATCTATTAATTGACCTTCAATCCACTGGAATCACACAAATGTAATTATTGTGTTATTATTTATCACTACTATTAGATTGTGTTTATCACAGATGTTGTTATTTGCCCTCTTTGTTAGGGAGCAGGTATGAAGATCTGATTCAGATTTCTGTGTGTCCAGAGTTAGCAAGTAAGCAGTGAGGAGAGAGGCTGTGAACTGGAGGTGCTGAGTGGGTTACGGCTAGCAAATCCAGCCTGCCACAGTGTCCATAAGCAAGTCTGGTGCTTCTCCTGCATTTATATTTAATATTTAAGAAAGAAAATAAATAAATAAATAAGAAACTGTGGAGAAAACATCAAGAAAATGAATACATCTGGATTTAAAGCTGCACAAACACAAAAATAAAAAGGTTATAAAACAAACAGTTCATACATCCTTTGGTATTATTAAAAAGGAAGAGTGTGTGTGTGTGTGTGTGTGTGTGTGTGTGTTGCTCACCGAGCTGGTCTTGTCCTGCAGCAGCTTCAGGCTACTCCTGCACTGCTCCAGCTCCTGGTGGATGTTCAGCTTCTCCTTCTCTGTTCTCTCATAGCGCTGACGGAGGTCCAATAGCTGGGACTGTGTGTCTTCATACTGCACACACAGACACACACACACACACACACACAAGACACACACCATTATTACTAGAAATTGTCAGGTGTTGGGTTTGTAACCCTGTATAAGTAACTGGAACATGTGTATTGGCCACTACAGGATTCCTTAAGGACTTCTTAGCTTCAACTTCAGGCATGTGTAAATTACGTAATTGACGTAGCAGACAACTACATACAATATCATCATATCAATATGTGTGTGTGTACCTCTTTCTGCAGTGTGTGTGTGTGGGCCTGGGCTTGGTCCAGCTGAGTCTTCAGCCTGCTTGCGTCCTGCAGGTGCTGATTCTCCAGACAACCCAGTTTGTCCTGTAGGACCTCCTCCCTCTTCTCCAGAGACACCAGACTGCTGCTGAGGACCTGACTCTGCTCCCTGGTGCTGCACGCACACGCACACGCACGCACACACACACACACACACACACCACAAACACGTCCAGTCAATAACCCCAGGAATACACTCAGCTCGAGAAAATTCACAATGCTGTGGATCTACAATTCCCACATTTTACTAGAATGATAGATTTTTCTGCAAAAATGGTCAAACCGAATTATCTCCAACACACCTCATTATTGGAAAAGTGGAGACAACCGTGTTTCCTCAGAACTATGGTTATGTATTGCTCTGACAACTGAACATTTTTAAAGCTTCGACTGACGTATAGTATGAATTGTGTATGGAACTTCGTTATGTGGATTCATTTGCATTACAATAGGTTAAGGCACAAACTACTGACAGGTTGCTGACAGAGATGCCCATGAACAGGTTTGACACTGATATTTGGTTTTTAACTCTCACTGGAACTTAGTACATACTATGATAATCTGTGAATACTTTAAGTAAAGCAACTTTGCCACAATTTCCTACAAAATAGCACAAAACAAAAAAAATCTCTTTTTTCTGTCTCTAATTTTGGGCCACAATTATGACAAAACACAAGGGATCGGCATTTATATGAAGACACAGAGAGGCCTTCAGGTTATTAAGATCAGTGTTTATTATTTTTCCTGCTCGAGCTCCATCTGTTCATTCTCACTGATCTCATCTGTCTTAAAAAAATATTATGATCTGGGAAGTTCTGTGTAAAATGGATAATGAAATCTATTGACAGCCAAGATTTGATCTGATGGGACATTTTGCTGGACCAGAAGAGGCTGCCTCTCTGTGACTGAGCTCACAGGGAAATTCCTTCTGACGCAACTTGCAAATATGATTTTTTGCTTATGGAAGCAAAGTTAATGATAGGTTTCATAAAATACAGGTGGTCTCTATTTTAAGGGAGACCCCCTTCACAATAATACACTTATATTGAAAATGTCACCTCCTCTCTTTTAAACTTTGTTTTGAGCTGCTGAATGTAAATATTTGAACTAGACTTAAGACATTGTTCAAGTTGGCTTCATCTCTAATAGATCATTTAAAGATGTTTAGGAAGTAGTTTTAGGCTGTACAGGGATCTTGACAGGGATGGGACAACGAGCTGCAGCTGACATCTGCAGTTTTATTGGAGTGGTGCATTACAGGTATTCGTAATAAGTGCTGCCAGTGGCACCTTCAGTTTATTGGAAACTAGTGAAAACACAGCTGAAGCTCAGATAAAATCCTGCTGAGCTCTCAGCTCCGATGAGAACATGCGGTGATGTTTTATCTCCATGGAGAACAGACAGAGCTGAATCTGCTGACTGCTCGGTCAGGTTCAGTCAGCCGTCAGTCAGCTGTCGTCCACTCGTCCGGTCCTGCCTGAATCAGCTGGACACCATGTTTCCTCCTGTCCTTCTCATCCTCCGTCCCTTTTTTAATGCTGAATCCAAACTCTGAACCTGTCCAGACCCGTGGACTTTGCAGCGCTCCTGTCAATCGTCCTGAGCCACAATTCATTAACTCGATCATTAACTCGACTTTTAGGTCCAGTTTAAATGTCCACCCTCGCACAGTTTGACACGCATTCTTGATATGTTCCCGGTTGATGCTCAGCTTTACGCTTACTTAAGAGTTTAGGTTTTTCAATAGTTTTAATTTGATCATCATTAATATGTTTTTTTCCTTTAAAAAGTAACATTTTAAAGCAATTCTCAAATATTTTTAATTCTGTCCGTCCGCTTATTAGTATTTGAATTATATTCATGGTTGTACGTAGTTATATTTTAGGGCACAATTTATTTAATCTTTTCTTATTATGACTTTTAAAGATTGTGTGTGTGTGTGTGTGTGTGTGTGTGTGTGTGTGTGTGTGTGTGTGCACAATGCTGTGTGAGACTGTGTGTGTGTGTGTAGGAGGTGGCACCAACAACTCCATCTGTAACACTGATGGTGTTTTTGTAGATTAATGTTTTCAAGTATTATTTGACTGTAACTAGGTATAAAGATTTATCTGATATACTTAAGTGATACCGATGTGTGACTGATAAGTCGGTTAGGATAGACAGGTTGACCAAAAACAAGGCAAAACAAAAGGTAGAATTCTGATCCATCTTAGCTGGAACACCTACAACTGTCAACAGATAATCCTGTTTACGATGTGGATTCAAATAGAGCATTTAACATGTGTGTATACCTGCTCAGCTCAGTCTCCAGGCGGTGCAGTTTGTCCGTAAGAGCTGTCCGTTCAGCTCTCAGGCCGTCACAGTCCTGCTGCAAACACACACACCGCTGCTGCAACGTAACACACTCCGCTGAGAGAGACAGAGAGGAAGTGTAGTTAGAATTAATGTCTACGCAAATTCAGCTGTTTAATGAAATATTGTTGATCTTGATTCATAAAAAACAAAGAAAGACTTTCATTTGCAAAGGTCCTGCAGTGAAACAGCCCCCCCCACACACACTCTCTCTCTCTCTCTCTGCTCACCCTGCAGCTGGGTGGTGGTGTTCTGCTGCTGTTGCTGCTGTGTGAAGGCCTCCTGCAGCCGACTGATCTCCTCCTCGTACTTGGCGGCCGTGTTCCTCCAGTGCTCCAGCTCAGATCGCACACTACCCAGGTCGGACTGCAGGGCGGCGATCTCACGCTCCCGCTCTGCCGTGGCTGCCTCCATGGCGTGCCGCAGGACGAGAATCTGACAGCAGAAATACAATCGATGGGTCGGTCAGTGATGGCATATGACTGAATTTATGGTAAACTGACAGACAGCAAGTCTCATTCTGTTCAAGAGGGGGTCGGGTTTCTTTGTGTGCAAAGGAGGGGTCAATGAGAGTTAGAGGGGAGTTAATGGGCCTCAGAAGGGAGTTGGACGAAGTCAAAGAGGAGTCGGGAGGAGTCAGACATAGCTACAAGGAGTCAAAAGGGTGTCACGAGTCAGAAGGGAGTTGGGAGAAGTAAGAAGAGAGTCGGGGAGAGTCAGATGGAGTCACAAGGAGTGAGACTTTGGAGGAGTCAGAGGAAAATAAGAAGAAACTGTGAGGAATCAGCTTAGAGTCATGGTCAGAGGGAGAAAGAAGGGAGTAACAGGGACTCATGAGGTAAAAGAGTTGTACCTCCTCCTGGGCGGAGTAGAGCTCCTCTCTGGTGGTGCAGATGGTGCTCTCCCTCTGTTCCCTCAGTGCTTCCATGTCGGCCTGCAGCTTCCCGAGTTGAGCTAAACACACACAGAACAGTAAGATACTATACACCCATATGTCTCATAATGTGTGTGTGTGTGTGTGTGTGTGTGTGTGTGTGTGTGTGTGTGTGTGTGTGTGTGTGTGTGTGTGTACTAACTCTGCAGGTACTGGATCTGTTTGGTCGACTCTTCAGTCTGCTGAGAGTTGTTCCTCCTCTCGTCCTCCAGCAGCGCTACAGACAGACACAGACAAAATTTAACACATTTGTTCACATTTGATTCAGAACAGGTCAGAAACTGGAAGAAATGTAAGTATTTGTGGATCCTAACTGGATCTAGTCCTAGTTCTCATAATATCTGGGTGTTAACTTAAGTTTTATACTGTTAGTACCTTGTAGCTCCAGACATCTCTGCTTGCCAGTGTTGGCTAACTCCTGGGCCTCCAGAAGCTCTCTGTGGAGATAGTGGATGACCTGCTCCGTGTCTCCAGGCTCTAGACCGGCCCGATGCAACTCAGCTACACTCACACAGACAAACACAGTAATTTAACAAATGTAATGTAACAAATTAATAAAGTGCAAAACAGAATCAAAGAATAAATCCTTTTTAAAGGACGTGCAGCCACCAACACAACAGAACAGCTCCCCTAAAGGACAGTAAAGTGTATTACTGATGCTTATAACCTTGGTGAATGTTTGTGGTCTGTTAGTGCCGCACAGAGGAAAACTACAAAGCAGAGATAAGTTGCCATGGTTACCTTTGAGCAGAGCTACTCTGTTCTGTGGTTCATTCAGCTCCTGGTCGTCCATGTTGCCATCTGAAATGCGCACACACACATATTTCTTTCTGATTTGGTTCTAATAAGGACTACATTTATAAACAGCTTAAAAATGCTTTGTACTTCTCTGAATTACCAACTAAATATTAGAAAATAAGTCTAAATGTTATTTAGTTCTCAGTAGGTGAAATAGAACTTATAACATCATGAATTCATCATAGACTAGATGCTCATCATATAACAGATGCAGGCTGATGAGAAAACAGACTTTAACATGATTACAAGAACAGATATTTAAAGTAAACAGCAGTTTACTGAAAAAGATGTATACAATAACTAAAAAAAACAGAGGGAGGGTCAGATCCATAAATGAGACTTAAATGCTTTAACATAAAAACAGCTGGTTAAAACCCGACTCAGTGTGTGAATTTTACTGACCTGACGTATCGTCACTGCTGCGGTCTTTGCTGGGACTCAGAGTGTCTGACATGTCTGACTCTTTGGCATCCATCTGATTACCTGTGGGTGGGGACACACACACACACACACACACACACACACACACACACACACACACACACACACACACACACACACACACACACACACACACAAAGAGACACACACACACACACAAAAAAAAAGACACACACACACACAAAGAGACACACACACACACACAAGAGACACACACACACACACAAAGAGACACACACACACACACACAGACACACACACACACACACAGACACACACACACACACACACACACACACACACACACACACACACACACACACACACACACACACACACACAGACACACACACACAGAGACACACAGAGACACACACACACACACACACACACACACAAGAGACACACAGACACACACAGACACACACAGACACACACAGACACAGGTTAGCCAGGCAGGGATGAATGGGTGTGAAAACAATAAAAAGCAATAATAAACCAGCACAAAAAATAAATACAATACCAAAATAGAAAGACACAGAAACATTTATAAATTGGTCCCTGCGTACTACATGAGCACACACTTGTGTGTAGTGCGCTGACTTGATTAAAGAATGTGAGGCACAGCAGGGAAACAGAAACAACAAAAGCAACTGTGTGTGTGTGTGTGTGTGTGTGTTTGTGTGTGTGTGCGTGTGTGTTCTTGTAAATCTTTTTGGATACAATCACATTTTTACAGGGTTGTAGGGTTGAGGTTAAAATTAGATTTAGAATAAGAAAAAAATCAAGAATCACTTTTCCAATGATGAAAAATACATTATGAACTATTTAAAAAGACGCCAGTCCTAGAGTTAGTATAGAAATATAAAAATGTGGTCCAGAGAAAATGTATTTCACTGCACTGTGTCGAAGCCTCCACACAGGGCTGCTGTATTGTTGAGTATTGTGTGCGTCCACAGAGAATCCAAAAGGGTGACAAACAGGCAATCCTCTCACAACAGCAAAGAAGTCAAAAAGGTCAGAGGTCACTGTGTGTCCTTGTCAGCAGTTCTTACCTTTGTGACTACCAATTCACAGTTAACTGTTGAAAACGTTTCAAAATGTAATAAAAAGCAGGCTCTCAAATGAAACCCACACACGAGGATATTCTCTAATATTTAATAATTCAACCACATACTCAAAACATCTAATCCGTTATAATTATACATTCAGCAGCTGGGACATAGAGCATGTTGATCTGGATTTATATTTTTGCATTAAGGGGTTACATCCCCAGTTTAGTTTAGTATTTATTTGGTGACATCAACAGGAAAAATCTGCTGCATAACTATAAAGCAACACGTAAGCGTGTGTTCTCTACCTTTGAGTCGATCAGGGCTGGCCAGGATGTCGTCTTCTGCCGTCTGGTTGTTCTGTAGGTGGGCGTCCATCACTTCTACAAAACACATACATATAAATATATGGGCTTAATTTTCCGTTCATACTTCTTAGTGCCGATAGAATACAGTTCAATTTAATGTGCACATTTAGACCTAAGAGCTTCACAAAGTCAGCCGCACAATGCCTGTTTATGTACAAACTGATTTTACATCAGTCTCACCAGATTCAGAGTTTGTTTTCTGTCTGTTTCTAGTGCTGGTTCACAGACTGAACTGTTCCAGGATTCAAACAACAGAAGGAAGTTCTTTTGACTTGATGCTTATTTGAGTTCTTACCATCAAAGTTGGTCAGTTTGTGGATTGAAGAGCTCACAGTCTCCTTCAGCTGTTTGACCGCTGCAGGGAGAAAAAAGAAAATCAGGGGGAATCAGTGAATAAACAGTTTCATTTGTGAGAAACAAACAAAGAACTTGAATCAATTCAAATCTGTCCCAAACTCTGCAGATGTCCAACAGGCCAACTTAACATCCTGTTAATACAACCACCAGCAGCCATACTGCCATTAACACTGACTCAGGGTGAGTTATCAGCTGGATTAGTGGCTGGTTAGTATATTAAACATGGAATCTTTACACTTAATCTACTGACGTTACTCAAATAAGGGAGGTTGTGCTTGTTTTTATGAATTTGCACAATAAAAGAATCTGTGACAAGTTGGCTGAGATAGCTTTGTGTTTAAAATACTAATGTGGGTTATCTTGTTTACCACATTAAAGTACATCTATTGTGGTTACCACTGTAGAATTATTAATAATTGTCAATTGTAATTAATTAATAATTGTAACAAAATTGTGTAGGTGCTCTGGACAGCAGCATCCGATAAATGACTAAGACGTGTAAAATATAAACTAATCCAGGTTACACTTTGGCATCTCACTTGTATATTTGCGCAATAACTATGACGTATGTCCGCAAGAAATGAATCCATAAAACGTTGGAGTGTCATTAAAATGTCAATGTAAAAAGGACATATATAATCTAAACAATATTTAGCTCATCTAAAATGCCTCAAAATCTTTTCATCTGCAGAAAACACACTTACTTGGCTGTGCTGTTATCAGCAGTTCCCACAATAAACCTCAAAATCCAAAAGCCTCAATTCAATTCATTTTGATTAATCTCTCTGAAATCCTCCCGATCCATCTAAAGCCATAGCTCTGCATACAAGTTGTGTTTCATAGCTGCAGAGAAGAGAACTGTACTTTGTTTCACTGCTTTCAGCGTCAGTGAAACTGTTTTAATGGTAGTTTTGATTGGTAGTGAGCGGAACGTGTACCTCAGCCAGCGGACTGGTTTATAATAATATCCAGTTTTAAAATGTCTACCACCAATGGAGGCAGATGAAGGACTTCTACAACATCTACTAATGTACAATCAGCCACAATGGCAGCAAGTGGGACTGGCAGTAACTACTAGCAACACTCCTATGTAACTGGTAGCTAACAGCGAATGTCACTGCCGCCAACAAACAAGGAAATGAAGCGTTAACGGCTTAAAATCAGCAGATGTTTTTCTGGTATCATAAATATAGGCAGTCGAGAGAAGATTTCCCCAGACTAGATTCAGGTATTAACACATGGCCGGAGTAAAAGAAAGAACCGAAAGAGAAGAAGAACAACAGAAATACAGGAAGAAAGAAAGTTAGTTAACTAATCCAGTGAAAACCTACAAAAGGCCGCATGCAGAGAAATAAAATATGTGAAAATCTGCTAAAGAGAAGCTGAGAACCAACTGGTTGCCTGGAGGTACAACCACAACATACCACTAAAATTACCAAAGCACCAGTAAAACCCATTACTACCAGACAGGAAGTTCAATGAGCCTGTGGTTGAGAAACAAACACATCTCCAACAAGACAGTTGAGCCAACAGAGGGACACACTGATGTTCTTGAAAAGAAACTGAATTTGCAAGTACACAATGTTTAACTTTAGGTCTGTTTGTTTAAAGGGTAAAATTCAACACCCCCCGATTCTGTTGACGTGAGTGAGTCTGGGATAATTCGAATAATGGGATTGAGTGCGTCTGAGATTTAAATGTAAGTTTGATGCTTAAGCATTCAAACTAAATTAATCATGTTCATGTGTTAGGTGATGGCAGAAAATCCAGGGCAGATATTTCAAAATCTTAAAACAAAACATCCAGGCAGATACTACAGGAGGACATAAAAATAGGAGTAATACAACATTTATTATTAATCTGTTCAACTCATACCTAACCGCCAGACTGCAACAAATCAAAACTGAATTTAAAATAGAGAACATCAGGTCTGTCAAGAAACTATTATTCAAATATTTCCACATGGTATCTTTAGGAAAAAGCAGCTTTTGGAATCCAAAACCTCATCAAGTCATCAAAAAGCTCTTTATCTGTCTGTCTGTCTGACAGCTCTTTTATCTGTTAACTATCTTCCCATACTGTATGTACATGATTTTGAGTTATAAAGGAGAACACCACGTTTAATTACAGTTGCACCATCAAAGAAGGCCATGAAGTATAGAGTGTGTACGTGAAAGCAAACTTCCACCAGAAAGCAAAAACAAAAGATGTTGAGAGAACAAAAATGAAGAATGAAAGTAATGGAAGTAAAATGATGAGATAGTAAGAAATGCTTCTTACACATGCTTCCATGTGTCTATTTCTGTGTGTGTGTGTGTGTGTGTGTGTGTGTGTGTGTGTGTGTGTGTGTGTGTGTGTGTGTGTCTGACTGTCTACAGCAATCACATGGATTCAGGCAGATGGTAGATGGCAAACCAGACGGTAAAATTAGGTGAGGCTGAATACTGGCAACAGTAACGGTAGACTGCGTCCTACGCAATCTGGACGACATGCTTATAAGGAATAAATTATATTTATATTTCATTACTTCTTTGTAAACGATACAACATCACCATAGCAACATCATATCATGCATTTTGTTTTGCCGTCCAGCCATTCTGTGCGATAGTTTGTTTTTCCTGTGCCGTCCAGAAGGTGCGGTCCATCTAACGTCTCCCCAAATCCATGTGAATGCAGCTTTAGGATTACTTCAGGGACACATTTCAGACTAAAGACCAGTTCATTGGGGACAGCAAAAGCTGTAAAAGGCACCCCAATCACAAAAGGAGCAGATTTTTGAGTCAGTGGTTATGGTAAGGGTTAGGGGTTAGGCATGTAGTAGTTATGGTTTGGGTAAGTCTCCAGGACATGAATGCAAGTCTATGTAATGGCCACAAAAGTGACAAAAGTAAACAAGCATGTGTATGTGTTTCTGTGTGTGTGTGTGTGTGTGTGTGTGTGTGTGTGTGTGTCAGTGCACAGCAGGAATGAATGTTTGTACTCACGCGGACACTCAATCAACTGTTGGATTCTAGTCGAGTCTCCTCCGCTGTTGTTAACATGACAGTTGTCTGATAGAAACACAGAGCACTGACGTTACTATGATGACTATCAGAGTGGAGTTGGGTATTTATCTCTTGTTGATTCTGCTCATCAATGCCTCAATCTGACTGAATCTTATTATCTAAGAATGGGAAGAAAATATGTTGGAGACAAACATCCTCTATTTGAAACAGACTGATGCTGCCAGTTGTCATTTTTGGGATTATTTTTTGGTAAAAGTAGTAAAATCTGCCTTACCGTGCATTACTTGAGTTCAATTGTTTCCACTAATTATTTTTCTCCCTCTGGTCCTACCATTAGACTTCCTCTTTGCATTCAATTCTTACTGTGCAATATTTTACAGTTTAATCACTCATAAACCCTCATTTTGCCCACATACACATACATACACACTGATGCATGTATATCCAGTCGTGTACACCGAAGAGGGTCAAAATGTATTTTCTGGAATCGATAAGCAGAATCAAAAAAACATCTTTCCTAATGAACTGGTCCCAATTCAGTTCTCTCGATACCCAACCCTGTTTTAGAGAGGACGAGATATAAAGAGCCGAAGACAGACAGAGAGGACAGATATCGTGACAAGAGGAAGGACAGACAGATACAAGCAGGTAGAAAGCATGACAGAACTGTAAGTTACAGAGAGATAGATAACTACACGGACAGATAGATGCTGTAGAACAAACGGAGAGGGCAGAAATCAAAGCCATACATGGCAGGTATTTTACAGTGGTTCTGGACAGGTGCCACCACACTGTAACGACAGACAGGATGTGGACAGGCGGACAGCAGACAGACAGCTGAGGCGTAAAACTTCTGTCTCCCAGTAACTTACAACAAATTACCAACAAAATGTGGAATTAACTAGCCCAACCGCTTAAACTCAATTACACTACAACTTAATGGAAAAATCCAGTCATCTCATTATTTTAAATGAGGAAGAGTTTCTGCTTCTGAGTGCAGACTCACAACTTCAGAATCAGAGTCAAAACTTCAGGGAAATCTGCTCCCCAGAAATAAAAAACATTAACAATCTCCTACAAAACAAATTAGACTTAACAATACTGTAGATTTAATAAAGTGCTCCAGCTGACAACATTATCTGTGCAGAAAATGAGCAGCATCAAAAAAAAGGTTCAGCTTCTTTATCGTCCCTACAACATGCCTAGAACAACTTCTGACAAGTGGTATTATTTTTTTAGCCTAATTTAAACCAAACAACCCGTGTAGTCCCAAGTATGGTCATGATCCAGGGCTGTCATTAACTACAACGACTAAATAACAGTACATTTAAAGTATAAACTTAAAATGAGACTATAAGGTATTAAGATCAAAGAAATATTTCTATGGATCAAATGTTAAACATTTCTGATGAAAGCTAGAACAAATATTTAATATAATGTCAGGAATCACCTCATACAGGTTAGGTCCATGATCAGTTTTTTATAAAAATCAAATTTTATAGGTTTGATTTTTGCATTATTCCAATATATCTATTAATTGAATAGAATTTTATTCTGCAATGTTTTAAATTGTTATAATAGATTATTCTTTCCTAATTGTACTGTATTCTATACGACCGTTTTCTTTTTTTCTGTAAACCTGCTTTGGAACAGTGCTATAATATAAATAAACTGTCTATTATTATGATAATCAAACTAACTACCATGAATATCTTCATCTTCACCAACTGCACCATCATCGGTGTCTGTATCGTCCTCATCCACGTCTTCTTCCTGGCTCTCAGGTGTCTGCAGGCTTTGTTTGTCCTCGACAGGCTCCTCTACCGGTCCGTGGGAGACAGTGTCGACATCTGTCATGTGACCAGATCAGATATATACACGATTTTGTCGAAACTTTACCAGCCAAACACATGTTGAGAACAGAGTCCAAATGACGGCAGGTTCCTTCACAAAGTGGCTACTGTGGCGAAGTGAGCGGTGAGACAGTCACCTCCAGCATTCATATTCAGTGTTGTCATTCAATCACCAGAAGTCAATCAGTGCCCAAAAGCTCTTTCTCCCCCAGAAGAAGAAAAACAAAGCAGTGGACAGTTTGGCAACCATGGAAACGACCCAGATTGTCCAGAAAAGCCCAATAAAGACCTGTTCAGGTTCCACAGAGTGCCACCATGTCCCAGAGACAACCCGTCTCTTCTGAAACAGCCACACCCAGAGGTTACACAAAGCATCCTCTCATTCAAAGATCACGTTTGAATCCTGAAACGGCCCGGTGCTGATCCTGGGAGCTGGGGCTGGCGGTTTTATAATAATAGCGGCCACCGTTAAAATTGCCAGTCACATGACTTTGATTGAGACTCTCTCTATACACAATGATTATAAAAGAAATTATAATTTAAACAATAATAATATTTAGGTGCAATAAAAATAAATAAATCTCAACGAGCCGTATCAGTACAGTATTTTCAGACAGAGAATGATCTGAATCCTTCTGCACTACGAGGCCATAAACATGTAAGTCTAAAGAACCTATGCCAGCGTATGTACCTGGTAAGTAACTTTCGTTGGAATGAATGTGATGAATAGGACTTCAGTTCTCTACATACAATACATCTATGGTACAGATGTATCCTGTATATGTAAATATCCCTGAAAACTAGACCTGTGATTACACAGGATGAACAAGAGTTATATTAATTACAGCTAATGGTGCTCACTGAAAACAGTCAATAAACAGTAAGATACTGGAATGACAGCACCTGTACTGAATGATTGTACTTGTGCACAATTATCTAAATCATCCACTAGCGTGATCTATTCCCATTCCCTGTACCACTGCACACTTAACACAACACATACATGTGGTATTGGAGTCACAGATTGCTGCAATGCACTAATCCCATAGCATTTCTGGTATTTTTGCACGCTATGAACGTAATACATTTAACAAAGTCTTACTATGCCTGCAAATTCCCATTTATAGCCCGATGAGTACATCAGCATGGACACCATTTCCAGTGACACTTTATCTAGATATCTTAGTTGCAAATTTGAGGGATCCTTATCAAAAATGTTTATTTGATAAATTTTTATGTTAAAGTTAAGAGTATTGGTGGGCATTTCTGTATTAAATGTCCTAAAATTTGAAGAGATGACTATGATTTATCTTGCCAAAGGCAGCAGAGCTGCTGTAATACTCAGCTGCCTGTGTGACTGTGTTGAGATTTCTGAATGTAAATCAGAGAAAAGTGACAGTTGGTTGTCTCTGAATGATTTAAGATCTTAACAGAAATGTACTGACGGCTTATGTGGGCTTTAATTCTCATGGATTCAGGAAAATATCTCAACTGAACAAGAATCAACATTACACATCCCCTTAAACTACCAGAGGACACCTGAGGGCCGGACACCAAGCTACCATAAACAAGACCAAAACAGAAGAAGAGCCAGACTTCCACTGTGACAGACAGAGAGACAGATTAACATAGAGGGCAAAGAGAGCAGCAAGCAACAGGAAGTTATGTGGACATCATGCAGGAACTTGTCATGCATCATTAGTGCAGGATGAGGAAGTGAAGTTAGAGACCACAGAAGAGAAAAACAGCGGCGAAGAGGACGAGTGTCCCAGAGCAGACCAGAGACGTGTGGACTCACCCAGACTGTTGTTCTCTTTAATGCTTTTCTCTTGTAGCTGTTCTAACCGCACTGTAAACAACAACAACAACAGCAGAGAGAAGCGTTGACTGACATGAAGTCCCAGCCGAGCCTCCTGATTGGTCAAAGACATTTTCTGACCGGGCCACTGGCTATTATGGTAAATCTTGTGATGACCAGGGAGTGAACGTGATTGGCTTGCAGTGTGCAGTCAGTTTGTTAAAAGTTAGGTCAGGACAGTGAGAGTGTGTGTGTGTGTGTGTGTGTGTGTGTGTGTGTGTGTGTGTGTGTGTGTGTGTGTGTGTGTGTGTGTGTGTGTGTGTGTGTGTACGTGTGTGTGTGTACACGTGTGTGTGTGTGTACACGTGTGTGTGTGTGTACACGTGTGTACACGTGTGTACCCTGCAGAGCGGCGAGCCTCTCGTTGGTGAAGTCGTTGTCGGCCTGCAGAGCTTCGATGCGAGCCTGGAGAACCTGCTCCTTCTCCTCCATCTCCTCAATCCGCAGCTCCAACTCCCTCTTCTCCGTTGCTCCCCGCTGGGTCAGCTCCTCCTGCCGGCCCTCCGCCGCCTGGAGGAGGAGAGATGGAGGAGAGATGGAGGAGAGGGTAAAAGGGAGGAAGGGTAGACAGAGACAGGGAGAGAAATGTGATAAAATAAAAACTATTAGTGTTTAAAAATACAATTAAACACCATACAGTATTAAAAAAAAACATTTTGTTTCAAGATGATTCATTGCTAAATCAAGTACTGTGGCAGGGAAATTAAATCCTACGTCATTCAGAGTAACATATACCACCATTGCAATGTCTGTGCAGGTACCTTAATTTTGTCAGTGAGCTCTTTGATCTCGTTGACGGCGGCGTTGTACTTGTTGGCGAGCTCCCTCAGCTCTTCCTGGCCCCTCTCAGACATCTCCTTCAAGTGTGTGCACTCATCCTCTGTGTTACTGAGCGAGCGCTGCAGCACAACAGAAACAAACAACATTTCAGTTTCACCAAAACAATAGCCCCATGACTCACAGTGGTTATGTTCTAGAGCAAAAATAAACATGGCCACCTTCCTCCCTGCAGTATGTAGACTTGTTTTCATTGAAGAATAGTCGCTAACTAAGCTCCACTAATTCGGTGATACACACATTCCCAATAAATTCTTCCCAATAAAAGTCCAAGGTTATGTAAAGCTTTAATTATGAAGCAGCACAATCAGGAAATGTTGGGTTTTCATGAGCAGTAACTTAACACAACTCCTATAGAGAGAGAAACTAAACTTGAAACCACAGAGATTCAGTTAGAAGCTGCAAAAGAACTGAGAGCTGAGCACAAAGAGACTTGGCGCGGCCAAAAGTGCCGATGGGAAAGCCCTATAATAGGAGTCCTACCTCCACCTCTGACAGCTTCCTGACCACCTCGATCTTCTCCTGCAACACTCTCCTCAGAGACTCCTTCGCTGTCGTCTCATAGTTGTGTTTGTCCTCCTGAAGAGCCAAAAGCTCCTTACGCATCCCTTCCTCCGTCTGGGACTGTGAGAGGAGAGGATTTTTTTTTTAAAGAGGATTATCAATTTGATTTGACATTTATCCATTTATTATAGGATAATTTGTTATTTATATCATCAGATATTGTGACAGAGCCACATCAGTGTGTGTGTTACCTTAGAGTAAGCCTGTAGCTGACTGCCCATCACCTCCAGTCGGGAGAGCAGACGGTCTTCATCGATCAGAGCCTGGTGAAGACACACGCAACGTATTTGTTCATGTCAGTTGAGATAACAGGGAATAATGGGAAAACTCTCCCATGCAGAGTTATTAGAGTAAATTACTAAGTGCACAATCCATACAACATTAAATTATGGTTTAGATATCCTACAAAAAAGATCTGCACTGAGCTGAGGCATATTTGTTTTCTCTACAGACACTTAATCACTGAAAATAAATTTCCAAGTAATGACTTTGATTTTGAGATTAATGGTATTCACAAGTTGGACCGTGTCATTTCCACTTGACATAACCACAACAATACAATACAGGTGCTGAATGTATAGATATCAGCATGTGACTACAGGAAACACAACCCCAAAACGGTAAAATGGTTCATCATATACTACATTAATTAAGTGATTAGTGCGATTACCTTTTTAACATAACCACCAGCATGTAGAAGACCTATCCTGACATTTGTACCTCTCTGTGTTACAGTACAGGGTTTAAGTATGATAATGATATTTCCTACCTGCCAGCTGCTCTCTGAGGCCTCCTGAGTGTTGGCTAACAGACGCTGCAGAGTGGCAAGCTTCTGCTCCAACATCTGCTCTCTGTGTAAGGCCTCCTGGTAGAGAGAGACAGGAAGAGAGTGAGAGAGAGAGGTAACCAATGAGAAACAAAGAAAATCAGCAAGAACAAAAGCAACAGGGTCCACTTATGGCGCAGAGAACAAAGTCTACATTTTTATTTTAAACATGTTCGTCTGTAAACATTAAACCATTTTCAAGAAATCTGTGTTCAAATTGTTGACTCGCGTTGCTTTGAAAAACGGTGTCTCTCCTTAAAGATCAGGGCTCTTTCTTTTGTCCATCATAAGTCAAAAAGAAGAGTTTAAGTATGTTTTTAGAAAAGATTTCCTGGCACTTCAACCAGCTTTAGATTATTTGTGCTTCACTGATCAGAGATAAAAAGGAAATCTCCTCTCCTGTAATGTATCGGACTGTCTGATGGGTTCTTTATTGGTATAATTCTGAATTGGGTTTAATGCAGATGATATACGCTTTGGGCTGTATAATTAAGTCAGTTCTAATTAACGAGACAACGGCATCTCAGATCACTACAAAGAACCGAGCACAGTTGCTACCCTACTCTGCAGAAGACACTGAAAATGTTCACAGCAGTTAAATATTAAAATGTTAAATGTGTTAAAACATGTCTGATGACTAATGAAGAAACAACTTGCATGTCTGACACATTATTTTAAGTGTAGTTTTGCAGAATGACCAGTAGGTGTCAGTGTGTTACCTGTAGATACTGGGAGAGCTGGAACAGTTCCTGAGAATACATACTGGGAGTGTTGGCTGCAACCTAGAAAATACACACAGACACACCATGGTAACTTATTGATAGTTGTCTTAAGTTAAGTCAGCCTTGTGTTTGAGCTGAAGGTGGACAAAGGGAGGAAAAACCACAGAGGTCAAAAGCCAGGGAAGAAATACATGAATGCATTTAAGTCTCACACACACCCACACACACTCACAGTTTTAAGTATTATGATGATAGAACTCAGTAGCACTGGGGATGAGCATGAACATATATAGAGTATACAGTAGTACCAGTGGGCCAGTTTTACACAACTATACAGCGGTCATCTGTCCAAGCATGTGTCCATCTTAAAACAGTAGTTCAAGCACAAAACTGCCCCTAAAACCACCAACTTTGTTTTCTACATTTCCAGTTGTATATAGACTAAACGAAAATAGACTCAACATTACTGATCAGTGAGCTTTGGGGAATCAGAACCAGGATCAGCTTTACTTGGCCATTTAAAGAATATGACTCCTGTTTTAAGTTACATTTGTTGTATTTTTAAAGTTAGGACAGAGGCAGGCTATCAGTTCCCCCTGTTTCTAGTCTTTATGCTAAGCTCCACTCCAGCTATGAACTTAACACGCAGACATGAGATTCATATCCATCTGAATATGTTAAACTATTCCTCACCTGATGGTGTTGCAACTACATGTTAAAAAAGACTGACGTTGCTGAAAGCAAGTCTATCGTGACCCGTTTGGTGACCACAACCACAACTTTGCCTATTTCAGACACTGATCTTGAGTGTACTGTATTGAAAACACAGCAATACGTGGTGTGTTCAAAAACCACACATTCTGTCGGTGCATTCAATAACTTCCACCTTAGGTCAATGTGACAGCCTGGGTGTGTGTGTGTCAGTGTGTGTGTGTGTGTGTGTCTGAGAGCGTGATTCAGTTTGTGATTCTGTCTTTTCAGACCCCGGAAGTGCAAGGATTCTGCTTTAGGACACTTAATTATGTTAGAGAAGTGGTTCAAATCTAATCACAGCTCCTCCATGACACACACACACACACACACACACACACACACACACACACACACACACACACACACACACACACACACACACACACACACACACTGTCAGCTCTAGCCTACATTCCTCAGACAGGTTACACTGAGGCCCTGTTGTTCTCACTGTTGGAGGGAAACACAGAACAGAGAAAGGCAGCAGAGAAAGCCAATATAGTACAGTGTGGTAAAGTACAGTATGGACAATTAGCCTGCCACCTAAGCGTAAACAATGTAAATAAACATATCTACAAAACACTTTTTTTCATTTAACAAAAGAAGCTAAAAGTTTTGGTTTCTTTCACAATTTCCATTCATCAGGACTATCTGATCAAAAACAACATTATAAATATGTTCTTGTAACCCCAAAGCAACATAAAGAGAACATCCTCCAGATTCTACAGTATCAGAGTCCTGTTTCAGCTCCGGACAGAAAACAAATAGGCCAATGTTTTTACCATTGGAGAACAAACATTTAAAGTTACACTAAAATAACATTTAGTCATCCCTTTTTGTAGTCATAAATAATGTCAAGATGTTTTTTAAATTAACTGTTAATGATACACGTAGCCTACATGTCATTGGAAGACAGCGTAAAGTTAGCAGCATTGAATTGTCTGGACTACAGACGCTCGTTCAACAAGCTAACGTCCAGGGCAAGATGTGCATTCTTCGTTTGTAAGATAAGGAAACTTTTGCAGGAAAGCAAATGTGGGTTGTTGTTGTGTAGCAGGCTGCTGTCTGACTCAGTGTGACGCTCTATAACACAGACGTTACTGCTACGAATGCAAAGATATGAATCGCAAGAGTTAAACTGCGATACAAATGTGTCAAGATTCAAATCAATGAGATGAAAAATGTGTTGTGATATATATCGTGGTATCAAGGTGCAAAGACTTCGGTTAACTTTTACAATACACAGTTTATACTCAACCTCAGAAATAAAGAAGGATTCTATAATTTGATAAAGAAAATAGATAAAATATATTTAGCAAATTTTTGTCTGGGAAATAAAAGAATCTTTTCATAGTCATAACAAGTCTTCAATCTGATTTTATTATAAAAAATTAATAAGAAAACCATATTGTGAATCGTATCAAATCGTAAATTGAGTTTATGGTTACATCCTTAGTTACTACTTTATGCTAAATTTGATTGGCGGTATCAAAATAAGGTCTCATCTACATGGAGGAACATTCACGTATCATACAACCAAAAAATAGATAATAAAAATATCTCCTCATTAGTACCTAATTATTCTCAAAGAACAAACAGTGATTTACAGACATGCGTGCTATCAGAGAAAAATGCAATGTAATTTCAGTTGGACTTTAGTTTTGTAGACACCTAAAGACACAAAGCACTCTGGGTGAATGGTGGGAGAAAAAAGAAAACTTGGCCCCCTGATCCACATGAAAGACTTCTGTAGTGCGGCAGCAGAAACTGGCAGCAATCCCTGCATTCCTCTATCAGCTGACTACTCCACTCACTGTGTGTGTGTCTGCAATCACTACTTATGTGTGTAAAACTGCCCAACACAAGCTCAGCCCGGTCACTGAGGAGCATGCATAGATGTAAATCTGAGACAGAGATCAACAACTTGCACACGGGACAGAACACACACACACACACACACACACACACACACACACACACACACACACACACACACACACACACCTCTCTCTCACACACTCTCACACACACACACTCTCACACACACACTTCTGCTCTTACCTTGTCTACAGGTAGTGGTAACGGAGTCTGGATGACACTGAAAGAGGAGAAGAGAAGAGAAAACAGTTTGTCACCATGGAAACAGCAGGGAGGAAAACACACATGGAGTAACCACGGCGACAGAAGAAGAAGAAATGGTTCTTGAAGGTCTCGTTTTTCACCTCGTTGTTAAACGAAAAACTAATCTCAATGTCGTAGTTCTTGAGGGGAGAAACAACATCTCAACTTCCTCTGCTCCGCGTTGCCTCGAGGACATTTAAATATCAATATAGACTTCCCTGGATTCAGATAATTATCTTCCATGAATACACTGATTTTCTCCTTTTTTTCTCCAGATTTACTCAAAAATACTGATACACACACACACATTTAAGAGGACCTACTTAACAACAGTTAGACTACAGCTTCACAGACAACCATCACGTTCAGTCAACACCTGTAATGGTCCCAACAAAACGAAACATTACGAGCTTCACCCAACTGTTAGTTGTTTTTGCTATTTTGTGCACCCCTCCGTGTAAAATCAAGAGGAAATGCTGTACTGAATGCACACAGAGGAACAACTGGTCATCTGGTCCAGTATGAAAGCGTGATGTAAAACCTTGCAGCCACCAGTGCACAAACACTGAGAAAGGACTTTACAGTGAGGAGACATCTTGGAGAAGGAGCAGATGCATTTTTTAAGGATTTTAATGTGGAAATTAGAGCCGCACAATTAATCGAAAAACATTACTGAAATTAAAATATGCAAATCGCAGAAGCAATATGCAAATTGTGAGAGCTGCAATGTTTTGATACAGGTAAAAAGCACAGCATTATAATAGAGTAGTAGTGCTGCAGAGATGCTCTGGCCTACAAATCTTGCTCTCCAGATTTAAGAAAACATGTTACAGACAACAAAAATCTCACATCACCATCATTTTTAGTTTTCTTTTTTTTTTTTTATTGAAATATAAATGTGTGATGCAAAAATTATAATTCCCACACTAATTGTGAATCTTATGTCAAGATATAAGCAATATGATGTTTTTACCATAATGTGTAGCCCTAGTGCAGACTGTATTTAAAACATATCAGACACACATTACTGTTCCAAGCAGACAATTTGTCTGTGTCTTGAAACAAAGTCTGGAGGGGATCTCTAAAGTACAGTTAAAGTCAATGAGGGATGTGACACTCATACAGAGCATCCTGAGGCCAGGCTTCAGAAATGCACAATGTCAGCTTTACAAATCATACAACGTTTGCCTTCAGATAGCTCGGTCAGTCACAACAATGCACCAATAATGTACCATCAATCAGAGTCCAAGAGTACATTTAAAGCACTCTACATATGATCAGCTGTGACTGACAATATTCCACATAGAAAATCCAATCAATCGATTCACTCACAAACTAAAGTGTGAGGTGCTAATAAAACCCTGTGAACCTTAACCTACAGATTTATTGATTTATTGTTATTCATAACATTTATTTTAAACGGCTAACTTTATTTCCAATAGGTATAATTGTGAGTATAAGAAACAAAAAACTCTAGTTTACAAGAAGAAAATCAGATACACCACAGTCCACCATTCTCTATGAGGTATCAATCAAATTAACACTGATAAGAGTTATGACTGTCGCTGCATAGATGGTGATTTAAAAACAAAGAAAATCAGATTTAATGCGTCAGAGCAAAAACATTAGAATCTATCCATCTTTTTTTGGTCCACAAAGCACTCAAACAACAGCAGACATGAGTCACACTGTGGGGAAAACTGGCCACCTTCAGTTTCAGCCCTGCATGAACTTGATCTCTGGATATATTTATCCAAAGTACAGTATCGTACAGCAACACAAGGTCAGACAGGTTTGTTTTAGTGGGGGTGAAGATAATCCAGAATTTACCTGGAAACAGTCAGAGTTCAGGAATGAAGATAAACTTCACTCTGGGAGAAATATAACCAAACTCTGTTAATGAGTAACTACCAACCAGCACACTGCGAGAGCCTGGACAGCAGCTATGAGGAAATAACACAACCTTCTCTCAGTTAATTCAAATTAAACACCGCAGACATTCATATTCAAATATTTGAAATAGTTGTGTACTGACTATATTTATAATACACAACTTTGATTTCATGTTGCCCACCATTTAATTACATTCATGTATCTTTTGCAAGGCTACAGGGGGGCTGCAGTTTATCCCAGCCGACAATGGGCGAGAGGTGGGGTCACCAGTCTATCACCGGGCTGACAAATACACAATTCAACCTCACATTCGGATTGAATCCAGAGCACACGGAGCAAACACACAGACACAGAGACATGGCTAGAACATGAACACAGAAAACACTGTGTATTAATATCAGAATGTTTTATCATCTGTATCAGGAGCAAGTTGCACCAGCTGGTTGTAGCTCAACATTACCCTATTCACAATATGACTAAGTGGAGATTTACTCTCATTTATTCACTTTGGTCTGCAGCACACACGTAGATATTAGTAACTAAATATGTACGCCACACAACTTCCTGAACCAAGTGACAAAATTAGCTTGCTAATATATATCCTGTTTGGTAAAAGTAGTAATATATTGTTGACATATCTGACCTGAATGTTGGCTCAAAATGCTGTTTAATAACAGTATAATAAAAATAATATAATGGTATAGTATAGTTAGATAGTTATAGATATTAAGAGTTATAGTATGTAGGCCCTAAGACAATAATAAGTGTCAATAACCTTCATTAACCAACATCAAAGATTTTAACTAGACATGCCAATAAATACAATTAAAAAAGATTGTCAATGGATTTAAATATCCTGCTTTCTTTGCTCCGTCAGAAGTTTATTTCTGGAAGTTATGTTTCCGATTTAGACGTTGCTAAGGTCTTTACTCACTAAGACATTCCTTTAGTTTTAATGATGCAACCAGATTTAGTAAATCACTAGTTTGGGTGTAGCTGGTAGTAACTAAATACTAAAACTGCTGGATTAACAAATAGCCGTAGCAATCCGATCCTGGTTATAATCTCATAATGTTTCTACTCTAGGAGCAGAACAATAGAGAGACCAAGAAAGATACAGTCCAACAGAACAGAGTTTAAATCTACTCTACTAAAGGTTAAGTCAAACAAAAGAAAACAGCTGCTAATACTGAAACTCTGGCAGTTGTTATTAATCAGGCAGAGATGTAGGCAGAAAATAAAGGGATGAGGTGGGAAGAGTGCTTTTATTAGTGATTACCTAAAGGACTTTTATACTTTAAGCACCAACAGTGCAGCTTCTCTGCAGGGATCAGGGTTTCTGCTGCTGCTGTTCTCCTTCAGTGTGACAAACTGCTTCCACAGAGAAACATCATCCATCACAGTAAACACCAGAGACTTTCCGTGATTTTAATGTGCTGAGTTAAGTGTTTTCATATCAGAGCTGCATTACAATGAGCTCTGCTGCCTGTTGATCACCTGACACTCCAGAAGAACTGCAAGTATCCTCCAGGAATCCTCGTCTTACAAAAATATCACGGTCTCAAACGGGACAAGACTTATTTATAATCTCTTTTATCTAATCTCTCTCTGTGAGCTGTGACATCAGATCATTTCAAGCTACATTTCACATAGTAGAATCAATTAAATTAATGTTACAGAAATCATAATTACTTTCAGTATACGTTGTAAAAGGGTTACTAGAATGAAACTGGGTGTACTTTTGATAAAACAGGATAAAAAAAATTGCTTTTTAGATGTTTAGTGAATTGTTGGTCTTTTTTCCCAGGGTCAAATAAAATAATACATTTACGCTGCATACCAGCAATTAAGTAGTTATTTTGTAGCACTTTATTCTTCCAACGTCTTTCTGAGTGCTGGACACTGGTGGTCGGACTTCCTGAAAAGGTACTCTTGTCCTTTATTAGTCCATCTTACCGTGTGGTTTCAATAATTTGTTTTTGCTACATTCATTCAGTCACAGCGGTCTGTCACGCTTTAATCTTTCATCCCCACGGCAATCACTGTGCATAATGTTGTTTTATTTATCATCACAGCCGGCAGCTGCTCTGTCACTCAAACAGCATCATCGCAGCAGGAGGCCCCCTGTTCATAATTTCATCTCATTTATTTATTTTTTTCCAGTTCATGAATTAAATAGCCCTTTTGCCACAGTAGGAATCTGACAACCTGTATGCAGGGGCTTCATATGACCTGAACTGATTGCTCGGTTTTTACTTGTGTTTCAAATCTATTTCACAAACAGGAATGTTTCAGATAGAGGTCATTAAACAAGGCAAACAGCGGTAGCCATGCAGGTAGCATTGCTCTAGGGATAAGGGACAACGTTGGTCTTTTTGTCATTCAGTCGGTTAACCACTTCGATCCAGACTGAAATATCTCAACAAGTGTTGAATGGTTTTCCATGAAACTGTATACAGACATTCATGATTCCCAGACAATGTATCCTGATGATTTTGGGAGATGTTCCTCAAGTGGATTGCCATTCATGTTCCCATCAGGATGAAAGATAATCATCTTGGTGATTCATGACCAAATACATGCAACACTAATCACATTCCCATCGGCCTCAGCTAGCATGCTAACAGGCTAAACAGTAGAGACGGAGACTGTAGACTCTACACGTGAAAAAACATGCTGTGGCATCCTACCGGGTCTAAGATCCTAACCATATCGTCCCCTGTTCTAGTCTTGCCGATGATGCATAGAGGCTCAAACTTCAGGGTGTCGTGGAAACTGAACTCAAAGCTCCACAGCTGGTGTCCATAGCAGGCTCAGTCTACACGAAACAAATCACTAATTTTCAGTCATCATTTAACACTGACTGCAAAGACCAGACCAGCACTGCTCCAAAATAACACATTTTAAATAGATGGAAAAAGTCTACAGCATAACATGACCTAAATTCACAGCTCTTCAACTATGGCTCACAAGAACATCAAGTCTGCCTACACACACACACACACACACACACATTAAGCGCAGCCGGTCCACAGGAATCAGTCATCCACATCAGATTTAGCTGAGTGTGTTTTGCATGTGGTCCAGCAGAGACTGATGATGGAAAACACTTGCAGTAGTTTCCATCTGTGCCCTGCTCAGATATTTCTACCACTGAACAGGTTTTACAATCACACCAAAGCTCAGACCTGTCGTGGAGGACTCGTGAAGCGGTCCTGGAGAACATTTTGACCTGCACCCACAAATGGCTTCAATGTTTATTTGGCACTGACCGAACTCAGAAAAAAAAATAAAATAAATAAAAAATAAAAATAAAAATCAGAAACATGAGCAATTTTCAACTTCTGAAAAACTTCTGAAAATGGAACGATAGGGTGCCTTTCTCTGTTTTATATAAGTGTAAACTGAATATGAATCTTTGTTTATTGCAATAAGACTCACTCACTCAGAGCTCACGCTCTTGGACAAACACCAAAGTTCAATAATTGGATTAAAGAACTGTCCATAACTCTACCTCTGGAAAAGATTACATTATCAAAAGATACACAATCTCTCTCTGAAACATTTGGATATATAGAGTATGTAGATTTATAATGTGACGAATGCAGTATAGAGGTAGAAATCTCTTTGCAGTTGCCTGAACTATCTGAGCTTCTGTTATTTGATGGTTTTGTTTCATGTAAATTATCTCCGGGTTTGGCATCGATATACAAATATCGGAGATATGACGTGAATATAACGAAGTGAACAGTAAGGGAACCCTTTTAAAAAGCAGAAAAACTTTTTTCCTATTTATTTTCTTAATGATTGTTATTATCTTTCACATGTAGGACACAATTTAAATTTTTGACTTTAGCATATTTGTTTTTGATATTACCTCTCATTATGGATGTGAACACATTTGCTTCTTTAGAATTTGGACATTGTTTGAAGACACTGATAAAAGATATTGTTGGGAAAACAGAAAAAAATATTTTATTTTGTCCAGCAAATAGTTCAAAAACCAAACATTTGAAGACTTTCCACACTTTTCACCTTTTTCTGGACTGCTGTTAGACTAAACAAATAAGAGACTCATAAAAACAACTGACAAATAATGAAACTGATTATGAAAATAATCGTTAGTGCAGCTCAGTCTACACCAAAACATATGAACACTAGTCTCAAAGAATTTCAAACAACGCCTGACCCTGATCCCTGGGGACACCAGTCTAAGAGGATCTCTCTACTTGCAGATTTGTACAAAAAAACAGTCCCGTTTATAAAGCAACAACTACTGTATATACAAAAACAACAAAAGAGTAATGGATGCTTTCCACACAGCTGCTACTTCGGTTTGATGTCTCATGTTTTTGCCTGCAGACAGAATGAACAGCAAACCTAACAGTCATCTGAACATACCACAAGAAACCAGGTCTGTATCGTATGTTCTAGAGCAAATATCAAGCACTTCAGACTTCCAGCTATATTTTATGACAGGACATAGATCCCTCGCTGCCCTTATAACAAATACAATCAACAGTTCAAACCTCACACCGTGCTGTAACACAAATCTTCATTAAATTAGTATTTAGCTATAAAGCTCCATGAACAATCAGCAGCATGCCCTCACTTGATCAGCACCATGTGAAGTTAAAAATCCTGACAACAGAGACGTTACCTGTCAGGTCTCCTTCCTGTGTGCGTCAGCCACAGTGTGTCAGGACAAAGTTCACTGTTCGGCCTCTATCTCAGCCTGACTCAGCTACTCCTGTGAGAAAATGGATTCTTCCTTGTTACTTCATTATTTTCTCCTAGTTTCAGGTCAAGCAGCTGATTCTTCTTTTTTCCACAGCGTGAGCGGAATCGTCCCATAACACAAACTTTCTTTCTTTCTTTCTACTCTTTGCTCCTCCCTTCCTCCGAGCAAAACAGATGATTTTCTTCCTTTAACTTAGCTCCACCCCTCCTGGCACTCATTGTGAGGGAATAAACTCCTCTCTGCAGCAGCTATAGCTCTTTACTGGGTTTATGGTATGTGGGAGGATAAAGGTGTGGTGGATAACTAACCTGCCATTGAATGAGAGGGGCGGAGATATTTTTCTAAGGCTCATCAATCTACAAGCCGACATTCAAAAGCTCCACTCACCTGGAGGAGAGCAATGGTCCTGAAAATGAAACATACTCTTGATCATGAGTGTCTGTGTGACAGTGTGGCTGGTTTAAGGAAGACTGATAAGGGAAACAAAGGGAAACTATTGCCATGAACCAAACAGTGACAGGAGATAAACAATGGTGGTTAAACCTGAAACAGGTCTGGATTCATTATCACAGAGTCATATTTTTACCGGCTAGAAATATTATTCACAAAAAAAAACAAAAAAACAAAGTCACCTGCTTCCTTTTACAGAAACAGGAACTGTGAGACATTACATAAACCACAGTAAGAGCTCAAATTTACAACTTGCTCTAACTTGTGAATTGAATACTGTTGTGTTGTTCTCACCTCATTCATAGTAATAACGTGACAGAATGACAGTCAATCAGACAGAGGTAGAAAGCTGCTGCAGCACGTTTCTCTGGCCACACCCCAATCAGTGATGTCACAGCAGGTGTTTTGTATTAGATGGAAAACACAATAATATGGGTTTTTAAGATACATCTAAAGGAGGTGGCTGCAGGGAGCTGAGACCGCAGATATTTGAAGGACACTGCTGCCACATGTTTTAGTGCTCTGAAGTTTAAAAAATGCAAAAAAAGAAAAGGTAAATTAATCTTTTGTGTTTTTGGGTTCACACCCGCAGTTATAATGAAAGATAACATTTAATCAGGTTTGCTCACACACAGAGGGCGAACGCACAAAGTTGTATCTGGCAGACCTCCAGACAGCTAATGCTAACGCCAGGAAGCAGAAACATTCTTCAGCTATTAATAAATCTGTCTGATTTAGCTTCATATCACTCTCTCTCTCTCTCTCCAGCTGCACTTTATAGAGACAGAGCTGCATCGAGAAATATGCAAGCGGTCGTAGGAAGTCAACTCTTCGTTTGCCAAGGCAGACAGCAGGGAGCAGAACAGACCCAGAACTCTTTATTTCAGCAAGGTCAGGATGCTCGTCTGTGTTTTCCAGACTGAAAGCTGGATAGCAGGGCAGCAGATGGCACTGCCCACCGTGGCACCATGCCCCAGCATCACACACACACACAGATTCCACATGGTATCTACAGTAGCCAGTTACAAACTGAGACACACACACACAGACACAGGTGGGACTCCCAGTACAGTAGGAAGTTCCATGCTGGGTCAGCTGCTCGTCTTCTACGGTCCATTTAATTGTACACACACACACACACACACACACACCGTATATTTGTAGAAATATAATATGTGAACTGAATATCCATCATTCTCCAACCCTCAGCATGAACTCATGTAAACATCAAATGACCACTTGTCCAACAGCATCAACAGTTTTCAAATGGTTCATCACAAAAGAACACACACACACACACACACACACACACACACACACACACACACACACACACACACACACACACACACACACACACACACACACACACACACACACACACACACACACACCTCTCACAGCTTGTTAACAAAATCCTCATCAACAACTAGACTGACACTAATCACATCACTATTCCAGCAGAAATTTGGTGTGTGTGTGTGTGTGAGTGAGTGAGAGAGTGAGAGAGAAAGCAACCAGACAGGCAGTAACAGCATCCTTTACAGTAACCACAGAACTATTAATACCATCAGAAACTGTTTCAACTGTCCAATATAATGTTGCATTAACAAGCAGTAACAAATCAAAAATCTTTCATCAAGCCGTCTCCCAGCGGAGAAAGTTTTGTTACAATTGGTGAGGGATCAATATGAAAGATTCATGGATCAGTGTTAACCAATGAAAATGCTTACTCGCTTCGTCGGCGTGCCTCCATCCCATCAGGTAGGAAGAGTTTGATTGTTGACACGATGCAGCCATGAGTGACTGGAAAAACAGACAGACAACCACCATGTTAACAGTTCAGTACTGGTTACCAGTTCTGAGTCAACATCATATTGGGAGAAACTGGAGTTCTGCAAAAGGTTCTCCATCATCGGTGAGCATGGAGAGTGTAAAAAGAAGTCCTGAACAACACTTGCACACACCAGCTTTAAAATAAAAATTAACTACAGCTTTTTTTAAATCATATAGTATAATATTTTTAGAATTGTATGTACCTGAAAATAAGACCACAGTAGTTTCTCTTACACGTTTAGAAGGCTGTGGTGTATTCAAATGGTTTCAATCTGCAGCTTCACAGCTAGATGCCACTAAATCCTACACACTGGTCCTTTAAAACTAGTGCTGACAATAAGACTACTGTACTGTTCACACTATAAAGAATGTTGGTGTGGGGGAGCAAACTCTAAAGAGCTGCTCTCTGCACTGATTGTAAGATTATTCCAATGATTGCTGCAGAATAGAACATATTTTGATTTTCCACTCTGGTGGAAATTTGTCTTTGGCTCCCCAAAACAAGATACAACATCATAGAAAACTGATAACTGACAAAGAAAAACACATGAGGAGCTGTGTGTGCGCTCCCCCCGCCACGTATACTTGGAAGAAGCTTTTGTCCAAAGAGATTTTTTGCCCACATATACACACACACACACACACACACACATGGGATCCTGGTTCAGTGTCTTGATGAAGGACACTTCGACGTGTCGACTGGATGGATCATTGTGACGGATAATATAACTCAAGCATGTTTCAAGAACCTGATAATTCATTTTCATATTGTTAATGAATGGAAACCAATAGCTGCCTGACTGGATTTGTAGCTGAAGAACAAAAACCTGCCACACTAGACATTTATTATACTCTTCCTGTGAAAATGAGCTACAACTTTTATTTGGTGGCATTTTATCTAATGTAATTCTGTGGTTTAGCAGTGTTGTGTTTGGAATTATAGAGTGGAGTAACAGCGATGCTCACACATTAACCTGTAATAGTAGTCTCATATGAATGAAGTCCAATGCAGGTTGAATGCGCCTTGGGTCTCCAGAATGAAAGGAGTATTAGTGGAGCTGAAAATTTGACCTCAATATCTGCTATGCAAAGCATGTAGTCCATGACCTAAGCAAACTGAGCCCTTAGGTACCCTTGAGGGTTAGTCAAGTGTAATTATTTCAGTTTGTATGTGTGCATCATCATCTACAAGGCTGGTAGAAGAAGGGGAAAAGCCTCTCTCTGTTCTACCTCGCTGCAACCATGTTCGTTTTATTCTTTCCATTCTGCATCTCTCTCAGCATACTGTGAAATAGAGTTATTTATTTTTATACGTTACTGTGTGGAAATATATTCAGTATATGCACGTACCTTTGCGGGTGTTCTCAGTGACGTCGACGCCAAACTGAATGATGTCGCCGGAGAGAACCTCGCAGGGCGGACTCTCCTCCGAGCCGCGGCTCAACCTCTGGCTGTTGATGAACGTCCCATTGCTGCTTTTAGTGTCCTGCAGGTAGAACTGACACACACAAACACAGCAGGTGAGAACCGTGTGAAGACATCTATGAAGACTACACAATCACTAAAACAACAGAGCAGGCTGTTATAATTAAAATAAAGTAGAATCGATTTCAAACCATTAAGGAGCGTGACAGAAGGGAGAGTAAAAATACAATAGAGGATGACAGTAAACATTCAGCTGCAGCTCATCATTAAAGTTCACAATTGTCAATAGTAATTTATAAACTCTATACATCATACTAGTGCTTATGCCATATGACAGCAGCCAAGAGCTGCCATAGGGGTATAACAGTACACGGGTCTGTTCGGGTGGTTCGGTTTATACCCGTTTTAGTGTGAGCTCGGGGGGTTAAGCATGGGGATTGTTCCTTTTCATTTATTCTGAACAGAGAAGCCAGGAGGTATCAAAGACTGACAAAATCCTCTTCCTGGGGACTGAGGAAACATTTTGCCCACTGGCAACTTTGGTATAATATTTTCATTATGAGAAAAGGGGAATCTTTTAAAAACATTTCTGTATTACACACTGAACCCTTTCCCAAAAGGCAACAGGTCACAATAGGCTTTACAACTGAAAAGCATTTCTCTATGCTAAAACCTTTGCCACCTTTGCAACAATTAAACATTCAAAGCACACAAACATGTATGTATTGCACAACGGTGGAACAACACATCGTCCTTGTCCGATAAACAAACTTTCTGTTTCTCTTCTAGCAGACCAGGAACCTGAATTAGTCCCGATCAATTAATGTAATGGACGCCGGCGGGTCTTTCGGTTCCAGTGTTTCATTTACATTCACCATAGAGTGACTGCATGTTGTGCTAATGTTGGCACGTTGCCAACAACGTACAGCTACGGGAAGTTTTTGAAATATTAAATCTTTATGTCTAAAGAGGGAGTAATAATTTCAAGTATCCTGTGATCTGGTTTAACAGTTATCCTGTCAAAACATCTCTTCATTAATTGTGGCGCATTACTATTGTCCAATCGTCATTACTTTCAGGGCTGTGTGACTAGTTATTTATAATTTAATCCTGAAGCTACACTGTAGTTCACAGCCCAGAAATATACAATGATACAGACAATATGACAACATTTCACGTTATTTTAAAAAGCAATTACACACAGTAACATGGCACAAATCCACAAGGATGATGACAACAACAACCAAAGTTAAACACAAACAGCGAGAACCACATCAACAATTTCATTCACATATCCTCCAGAAAACACACATACACTGAAAACAAGTATATATTCACAGACATAGAAATTAAGTCACACACACACACACTGAAAACATACACATCAGACAAAATACTGCATGTGTACAGACAAACAATAATTAAAAGCAAACATACAAACATAAACCTAATACTAGCACAGACACAGAAGGTATAAATTACACCACACACACACACACAGTGAGCGATCTGATCTGGATGCCTGAGGCCTGTCTGTCTGTTTGTCGTTCCAGGAGTTTCATTCATCAGCTCTCAGCTCTCCGTCATGACTGAAACCCACTGTCCATCTCCCAGAGACACAGAGAGACACTCAGACTGAACACTGAGGAGAGGAAGGAGGGACTGACGAAAGAAAAAGCTAAAAACAAGAGGACAGAGAGAAAGAGAGAGCTGCCGAGACGGACTTCTTCACTTCGCCGTTTATCCGACTGCAGTGTGCTATGAAAACCAACCAATTCACAGATCATGATAGCTATACATACACACACACACATACAAACGTACACACGCACACACAGACAGTTACCTCCTGTCCCCATGGTAACCTGGAGACAGGGGGGGAGGGACCTAACTATAGAGCTTTTCACCCAGCAACAACACACTCACACACACTATGCGTCACATACCACACATATGCTCTCTCTCTCTCTCTCTCTCTCCCCCTCTCTCTCTCTCTCTCTCTCTCTCTCTCCCTCTCTCTCTCCCTCTCTCTCTCCCTCCCTCTCTCTCTCTCTCTCTCCCTGTGAGCAGCAGACTGCTGGTTTAGGCTCAGACATCAGTCTGTCACTTGTCTTTGACACATACTTTCTATTAAAGCATTTGACATGTTGACAGTGACAACAGCATTTAAAAAATGCAAGTAAGAACAACACTAAAGTCAGGTTCATACTAGAGATGGGACGATAACTGATGTTATCGCGCATCATGAGAAAAAGCATGGGATAATTGTGAATATCCTCACATGGCTTGCCTTTAAAAGTGGTCTAGCTCGCCAGCATACAGCACTATATTGATTTCCTGATTTATTTTTGAACAAGAGGACAAGGGGGAGGCCGCATCTTTCCAGTCGCTCCAAAATCCTGAGCCTGTCACCATGGCACCAGAACAGGGAGATGAGGTGCCGTTAGGCAGTAAATAATATACTGAGTGCCATTTTAAAAGAATTAAGTATATTTTCATGTTTGTTGCGATAATATCGTGTATCGCAATTATTTAGGAGAAATTGTGACATGAAATTTCCATGTCTTTTCAGAGGAGTTCCCAATATCTTACTCTCAGTTACAGGTTGATTGATCTCAGACAGCGTTTGATCTAACACCTACACCTTCTGACTCATACAGGAAGTCCCTTTCATTTCCACAAACAAACCGTGGGTTTATGCTGAATCACAGCTGCCTCATTTCCTCATTTGACGGAGTTAGAGGGACGGCTAAAAATGGAGATTGAGGTGACATTATCAATCAGCAGTCAGTCACTTTCTAACTCCGCACTAATCCCAGGTGACCAACTACGAGGCACTGGTCACACAAGTCAGAATGAAAAAATTAATGACAGATGCATTGGTTGACAGGTAACTCAGGTAACTCATAGACCGAGCTGACTTTTTAATTCTTTTAAATGCTTTTTAGAAAGTTCTGATGGTTTGTTTGATCTTCCCTCTGGCAACAGAGACACAACAAAGCAGATCACAGAGAACGTCACTGATTGGTTGACTCACTGACACACTAACCATGGATATTAGCTGAGATTTCTCTGTGTGTGTGTGTGTGTGTGTGCGACAGAGTGTGAAAGGGAAAAAATTCCTTCCCTGTTCAGTCAGCTGGTAAACTGCCACATACCAACGTCGCACAGTTAGCTACTGTCTGCCTTTACAATTCTTTCGATCTCAAAAGAATAATTCAGGTTTTGGTATTTCTGTTTCTGCCCCATCATTGCTGCTGCACAAGAACACTTTGTGCACACAGCAACAGTAAGTGCAGCAGGTCAGTGTTGAAGCTTAAAGTGGATCTGGAGACTGTGATAGAGGATTACAACAGTAACAGTTTTGGTCATTATTTTTTTACCGTTGGCCTACATTTGTCTAACCTGGGCGTTTGTTTACAACACTGATTATTTTATCCTCATGTTACTTTGGATGTCACCAATATTATTTCTGTAAATATAATGATATAATTCCTTTAAATGATGATGATGACTGTGAAAATAAGACCCAAGTTGCAATAAACTAGAATTATCCTTTAAGATGGGTTTACACCTGTGTACTAGAGGGTTACAGAGTCCCTACAGAGGTTTTGTTCTATTAGAGGCTTTTAACCTGAACTGACCCATTTAAAATCCACCCAAAACGGATGCGCATAAATTAATCTTCAGAAAGACAGCCTCAGTCCAAAAGGGACAAAAGAACAGTCAGACCAGGTCTGAATAGGATGATCCAAACTGTGGCTGACCTGAGACGACAGCAGCACTGGCGGTGGCAGCATGATGCTCCACCAATTAACCGGATTACACTAAATGATGTCTTGGTTAGGAACTGTGTAGACCTGCAAAAGACCTCACTTTTATACACTTAATTGCTTCATTTGAGAAATTCTCACCTTTAAAAAGCTGCAACCGTCAAATGTTTGGCATTTTCAACTAATAAATGGACTTAAACATTTGTTCAATTAACAAAATAGCTGCCCGTTAATTTTCTGTCACTCAACCAAGCCATTATCGACCTATTGTTGCAGCTCTAGACATATTTACTGGTCTTTCTGTGTGTTCACTGCCGTTTCTGTCCATCTGTTTTGCTTTCCTTCTCCTCTCTAGAATAGAGGCCATTAGTGATTAATCTCCATCCCCATTAACAATTATGTAACAACAATAATCCTTAATTTCAGGATGGTACAAAAAAGTACATTAGATTAAGTACGCCAGCATTGCTGATGAAAGGCTCTGAAGTACTAGACTGGCGTGCTTGCCGTCACCCTCAAGACCAACAAAAGAAAAATGTATTGAAAAGGATCTGAAAATATTCCTGGAATAGGGAAACATTTTTCACACAAGTGCGCAACTTTTCAAACTGATCTACACTTTCGACAGATTTTCACCACCACCAACATTCCTGCACCACTTCCACCCACGAACAGAACATTTCTCGGGGAAACACTGCATCCTTTTATCCTTCTCTGTCCTCTGACTCCCTTTCTCTTTTCATCCCTCCTCCTTCATTAGTGTCAGCTCAATGAATGCCATGTAATTGTGTTTGGATTTTAATTTTCCCCTCAGCCTCCAAAAACAGTGCAAACCATCAGCTGGCAGCCAACAGCCACGACAACCACTTAACCAGTCAGCAGGTCGCCACATGACACCAGCTTGGTTGGACACACACACACACACACACACAGATGAGTTAATAAACAGATAGTAGTAGTCAGCTGACAGATTGACTCTGAGCCTGTATTTATCAAGTCCCTAAGAATCATTCGTAGGAGTCGCGCTGAAAGTTTGAGCACGACTAAAAATACTTCCCCCTCAGAGTAGAACATGAGATTATTTCTCCAGCATCCGACATTCAGTCCCTGCAAGAGGAAGAAGGAGGTCTCCTTTGAGAAAGAATCCCCATGTTACTACACCCATGTGCCATTATGTCAACAAATTTGTGAGACAACTTGATGGCTGTTGATGTAGTTCAAGCCTACATTGCATATTTAGCTGGGGGGGGTTTTAGCCACGCTGGAGGGATGGCAATGTCGGTCCACCAATTTGGTTCAG